AAAGACAAAACAGCTGTAATTGTACTTTTCATGCACAAATAATATCTTGCTTCAATATTTATATTATGGCAAAAATAGACTATAATATATTCACTTCACATATATTACATTCATTCAAACTTTTTGCCCATTAAATGTACACACTTTTACAAACCAATGAGTTTAGAAGATTTAAGCTCTTCTGATTATATGCTTTTACATTGTTGATCACCAGACAGTAGCACATAAAATTGCTTTTTAAACTAGAAAATACTAGACAACTATGTATACAACGTGATTTTAAAAAGGTAGAATTCCCAATGCATTGCTTGAAACTTATAGGGAACTTTCTGAGAAAATGTACTTCATAAAAATTGTCTCTAAATATTTACATTTCTGAGGACATTTGAGTCATATTAACAGCAATTGAAATTTTTAAATACATTATTATCTAGATATTCATTTTTAAACTATGCTTTGCTTAATTTGCTATGGGTGGGGTTTAGACTGCTTCAGTTTTTAACAAAGAAATATACAACAAACTTCTGTATTGTTGCAATGCAATCTTCATCTGGACTAAGTAGCATTTTTAAAATTCGGAATATCTCCCTCTTTTAAGCACAAGAGAGTGAAACACTGAGGTATTTTCATAGGAAAATATTTAATGTTCGCAGGATAAAAATTGTTTTATATTTTAATGTAAAAAATTACTTGAGAATACAGTAAAAAGCAAAAAATATATTCTAATGGCCCAATGCCAACCTCCGGAGTAAGGTTTAACAGTTCATCCAAGTTTTTTAAGGCTTAATACTTTTAAAAATATTTTTATTTTCTCCCTTCATTTTCAATGTGTTGCTTAGAGATTGAATACACTGATAACTGTGTAATAGCGCAATTCTACAATAAGAAATTAGGCTGCTTACTTTTAATATAGAATTGAAAAAAATCTAATATGGAGAGTCTAAACTGACACTAACAGAAAAATCCTCAAAAAGGTTAAGAATCATTCCTGTACAATAACTACTTCAACTTCTCTATTGAGCCACAAACCCAAACTATGCAAATAAAACCCACCAGAGCACTACTAATCTAAAAGTTATCACAAGTTATAGCATTTTTTCCCTTTTTTTTCTTTCATCTTTTTGTTTTGTGGGCTTAAGATTTTGTTTTACTTTTAATCTCGTTTTTATCAAACCTGTTCTGGAAATGTTTGTCACCTCTAGACAGTACTTCCTTTTTTTCAGGCTATTTGTTAGACTGACAGCACAGTGCATGCATGTCAAGTCGTGTCCGACTCCTTGCAACCCCATGGACTGTAGCCCACCAGCCTCCTCTGTCCGTGGGATTTCCCAGGCAAGAATCCTGGAGTGGGTTGTCATTTCCTTCTCCAGGGGATCTTTCCGACCCAGGGATGGAACCCACTTGTTTTTTTTTTTTATCTCCTGCATTGACAGATGGATTCCTTACCAACTGTGCTACCTAGAATTCCTAGACTAGGAAGACTGAACCAGCATGGTAATTATTCCAGGAAAAGTACAAAACCATTAGATCCCTTCAGGACACTTGACTCTTAAGATTAAATCCTGTTTCAATAAATATTTCTCATTCAACAGTCCATTAATTTCATGTGATTTCTAATAAATTTCTGGAAAAAGATGTTTGGAGACTCGTAGCATTTATTATAGAGTAATCTGACCTGTGATATTTGCAACTCTTATGAAAAATGAGTGACTAAGCTTATCTTCCTCCTTTATTTGTTCAGTTCTCCTCAGCTAATAAATGAGCACATGGAGGTGGAAGGCCATTACCATCACATCAGTCCACCCAGAAAGTGAGGGCCAACAGATTCATGTCCGGGATAACCCAGATAATCCAACCGTCCGAACTCCCTTGGTTGGTACAGACCCGCTCCTGAGCGTGAATACATCTTTTCCTCACTAAGCTTTAAAGCTTGAATTTAAAATACACATGAGCATTAGAAATGTTGGTGGTGACAACCGAAATAAAGGACTGGTCTTTATACAGTTTTAAAACCCCCTACCAGTCAGTTTAAAATTGCAGATTCATTACATTGGAATCATGTACCGCTATAGCCAGGGTGGGGACACTACAGATTCAAAGCAAGGCATCGTTGAGATCTTAAATGGTCCTTTTATACGACACACCACAAAGTCATGTGTAGTGGAAGGAATCATGTTCAAAAGATCTGCCTGATAAGTAATTTTCGAAACTTTTCCAACAGTTATGTTAGCCACACTGTTAGTTTGAGTGCATATTTGTGTGCTAAGCTGCTTCAGGCATTTCTGACTCTTTGAGACCCCATGGACTATGGCCCACCAGGATCTCTGTTCATGGGGTTCTCCAGGCAAGAACACTGGAGTGGGTTGCCATGTCCTCCTCCAGCGGAACTTCTCAAGCCGGGGATCGAACCTGCATCTTTTTTTTTTTTAATAGTGAGACAGTTTATTAATCACTTTAATCAAATGGAGATAGAAAAGTCAAGGTATGCCCATATGTTTCTAGAGTGAGGACCAGAAATATGGTTTGAGAGTGGGATGCTCCATTGTTATTCAAAATGCAGGAAGTCAGATAAAATGTCTTTCTTGTCAAGAGGAAGACAGTATTTTTAAAACATACACATGCATTCTATACACCTCTGCATAGTGACCATACAAAGACATCTTCTGATAGTTTCCTGGGTACAGGCCACAAGACCACCATACATATAGTTTTCTAGTAAGATCCTTTGTATTATTTTTGTAATTAATCTCCCTTATATGAATAGCAAACCAGGGATATCCATTATCATAGCAAATGCTGGTGCAGTGCAAACCTGCATCTCTTATGTCTACAGGTAGTTCAATTATTCCCTTCTTGTCACCCATTTATATTTATTTATAATATTAAAAGCATAATTTAAAATAAGTATACAGTTACTCATTGGAAAGGACCCTCATGCTGGGAAAGACTGAAGGCGGGAGGAGAAGGGGATGACAGAGGATCAGATGGTTGGATGGCATCACCGACTCGATGGGCCTGAGTTTGGGTAAACTCCGGAGTTGGTGATGGACAGGGAGGCCTGGCGTGCTGCAGTCCACGGGGTTGCAGAGAGTCGGACACGACTGAGCGACTGAACAACAGCAACATGTGCTTACTGTCTCTTTCTGAACCCAGCAACACATTGGATAAAGCTCAGATTTACTCCAGTTTTTAGAAAATGAGTATTTTACGTAGTTCTGGAAATACACCACCAGACAGGCCCACCTCACACACGTGTGACCTGCAGACACTCCAGCTGCGGGAACACTCGCCTGGGGCTCCTGCGTCCTCAGCTGGGGGTCGCGGACCTCCGGCCACCTCCCTGGCCCAGGCCCACCTTCCCCCACCCCCACCCCCACCTCCAGGCCAAGACCACCCCCAGGCAGACAGGGCGGAAGCGGGCAAGGCAGGGGCTGCTGCCAGCTCACCCGCCTCCACCCGGCGCCCCGCTCACCGCCCCTGGCCCTGGCCTTCACACGCCACCCGAGTTTCTCAAAGGATGGGACGCTCGTGACATGGAATTCCCTCACGAAACACTCATCAATCTGACTTCAGCTGCTTGCTGAGGACCAGGCCCACTGCCGGTGCTCGCGCCAGCAGGGTGCAGCGGGGAGGAGAGTTGCCAAGTGTTTCTCTCGGAGTACTGATGTGACTACCCTTTCAGACCCCTGTGGTTTCAATAAGCTTCGGGAGAACAAACCAAAGACGTTAGGACCCACTTATAAGTAATGTTTCCCTTTGTAGACAATACTTTCACATTCATCAAGTTTCACATTCATCGGGGCTTTTAGAGCATAAACTACCTGTACTACGCCAGTTTAACCACCCAAGGACCCTTTCGGTTATTTTCTAAAATCATCTGTCCACACTCCTAACACATGCAAACCTTAAGCCACCAAACTTTGATTTTTTTCTCATTTTTTTTTTAAAGTAATTATAGATACTTAGGGTAAATGAAGCTCTATTGCAGGACTTTGAAAAACTCACTTTCTATCAAGAATTGTTTTCCCTGACAAATTCCTAATGGACCTAGCCCTCTATTTTTGAAGTGTCGTCTGTCCCTCAGTTCAAAAAAAAAGGGGTCCCCTCTAATTTAGAACATTTTAATAAGCTTTAAACTGAAAAGAGATAGTTGAGCTTCTTCTATCTGAAATGTTGATAGAAAGAAAATTCCCTCCATGTCTATCCAAAAGAATTCCTTTTAAAAGTCTGATTTTTTAAATGATCTATAATAAACTGAAGTTTTTTATATTTTAATAAGACCACTGGAGTGGTTCGACCCTGGGTCTCCTGCATTGCAGCCAGATTCTTTTGAGCCACCAAGGAAGCCCAATATAAAGTTTTATGTTACATGTAACAAGGACACTTATATTTCCTTAATATTGCAAACATTAAGTTACTGACCCACTTGAAAGGACTGTTTTCTTTTCCTGAAGCAGCAGCAGAAAGGCTGGCCATGCCCTGCTGCTGTCACCCATCCTCACTCCTGCCTGGGGCGTCTGTCCCCACCTTGGTCTTCCCGGGAGCTTCTGGGCAAGCACAGCCTCTGTCTCAACCCTGCCGACATGGTTTGAAGGCTACATTCTAGGGCTTTCTGCATGTTTCACAGCGGATGTTCCAGAAGGAAATAAGCAATGAAGATTGCAATTCCAAATGAGGTTCTAAAATGAACACTTCTTGTGTTCAAAACTATCCACTAGAGCATTTTATCAAAAGATCCTGCTAATCAGGAGACCTGATACCAGAGATGCCAACACCCATCAGTGGAAAACACTGGTTTGTAACCTACTTTTTGTGAAGATGCACATTTTGGTAATTTTGATATGAAACTAAGAATATCAACAAACAAAAGTCACTAAAATACCAAAGCGCTGTGTAAGTTTGGCAGACAGAACATCCTCAACTCAGACATGGTGAGCCGATGAAACCTCAACATTCTACAGCTTGACCGTGATAATCATATGACTTCAAAAGTCCAGAAATGTAGATTTATTTTTATTCAGAAATACTTTCATATTCTCTAACTCTTCATCAAAAGTTTAAAAATTCAAAACGGACACAGAAAAATTACATGGGTCTTAGAAGCTATGTCAAACATGCGAGTTTTAAGAGTGACATTTACACAGTGTAATTTAGCCCTCGTAAGTAATTTTCTTATAATCAAATTATTATGACAGGAACACAAACATACCATATATTACTCTTTAAATTTTTGTTTTACAATATGTTCTTGTCAACGGGACACTTCAAAATGTTTAAACCTGACAGAAAAGCATTAAAAAAAAAAAAGTACCAATGGAGGAAGAAAGTATGAGGAAACACACCTGTCCTTTACCTGGTGTGAAGATGGGAAACACTGCACTAAAAAACTCTTAACCCATTCTCCTGGAGAGCGCCTTCTGAATATCTACACTTGGGTCTATTGTTCTTTAAAATCATTTTAGACTTAAAATCAATTCTTTGTTCCCAAGTGAGAAAGAGGCCCACTTCCAATATTCACTTTCATTGATGCCCTCTGCATTTCCTCTAAAGGGGCTGGTTTCTGGGTCAGAGTTAGGCAGGGACCCGCTGTAAGAAGGAAACCCAGTCTCACAGCTAACCACAGACTCAGTGGTGCAACAGTGAGCGGAACCGCTTTAGGAGCGAACCCGGCATCGGAACCGTCCCTCGGATACCGCTCACTGGGGGAAGGAACCCTGGGTTTGATGTTTCGGAAGCTCGACGTGTTGGAGAAGCAGCCTCAGGAAGAAGAGGGCTCCTCAGCTAAAGGCGCGGGCCAGTCCTCCTCACCTCCTCGGCCCGCGGGGACCAGCCCTTCGCAGTGCCCCTGCCCGCGGGGCGGGGCCTGAAAGGGGCCTGGGGGGCGCGGAGGTGCGGGAGCCGGAGACGGCCGCACGGGGAAGCTAGAGGATTGAGGAGAGGAAACCCCGGGGAGCGGAGGTGCGGGAGCCGGAGACGGCCGCACGGGGAAGCTAGAGGATTGAGGAGAGGAAACCCCGGGGAGCGGAGGTGCGGGAGCCAGAGACGGCCGCACGGGGAAGCTGGAGGATTGAGGAGAGGAAACCCCGGGGAGCGGAGGTGCGGGAGCCAGAGACGGCCGCACGGGGAAGCTAGAGGATTGAGGAGAGGAAACCCCGGGGAGCGGAGGTGCGGGAGCCGGAGACGGCCGCACGGGGAAGCTAGAGGATTGAGGAGAGGAAACCCCGGGAGGTCTTGGACACCACGGTCGCCTCCGGAGGCCCCGCAGGTCTGGGCTGTGGTGTGGGGAGAGGAGGTGAGACTATTAATCCATGCCTTCTTTCAACCAAAAGAAAACAAAAGCCTCTTTGTGGCTTCTTTTAAACCTGATTTGTTTAAAAAAAAAAAAAAAGGAAGAGAGCTGCAGGCGGAAGAGCTTCAAGGAAACAGGGGGCTGCTGCCCGTGACAGGCCCGAGTTTCCCGAGATTCAGCCCCCAGTCTTCCCGAACCGCGCTCTGCCCCGGCGGCTCAGTATGAGTGCAGGTGACACTGCGTGCTTCGTAAAGACCAGGCAACTTGCATTCACCATCCTGCACTTCCTCTGCGCGTAGTCTCGTCCTAGTCATCCTACGCACTCTTACCCCATCCCTTCCAAAACACTTTCAATGTCTGTTGTTAAGTACTGTTCCACCTATAAGGCAATAAATATATTAAAAACTCAGGTTTGTTTGCAAACAAAAAAAGTGCTTAAACCCATCTTATGCAACTGTTTTTCACTTCATTTTCAACCAAAAAAAAAAAAAAAAACCCACATTTGGGTTTATGAATAATACTGAAAAAAAAATAGTGAATCTGATTCTTCCCATACATGTTTTTTAAAAATGTGCCTTTATTTCCCATGTTAACTTACATTAACTGACTCATTTCCGTACCTTAATGAGTTGAACTCTTGCTTGGAAAATATAGAAGGTACAAATATATAGAACTTTTAGGACTAAAAACTTTTCTGAATATAAAAATGCTTTCTATACTTCAAAAATAACACTTTTAGATTCTTGTTGTAGTTTTGGGTTTGGTAACTTAAGTACCCAAGGTTTTTTAAAAAAAATAACAAAATAACATGGTTTTAAATACAAAGTTATCTAGGAACCACTCACATCTATGGATCAACCCCACGAAAAGTTTAGTTCCTCAACAAGAAAACCCCAAATATTCTCGTCATAAAATAAAATTCCATTATCAAAAACTAGCTTAAGATAGAAAACTGTACGCCTTAGTGATTGCCAGAACCGCCCAGCATAGCTTCAGTAAAATACAGAGAGCTGATCCAGCAAATACCATCTCCACATGTGTGCGAGTTCTGCAGTCAGACAGCTGGACCCCGGCAAGCTGCGGCCCTGCCATCGGCACCCTCCTTCCCAGCGCAGCGCCTCCACTTCGGCCCCGCCCGGGTCCTCCCGCCGCTCATCCCAACCGGGGCCTGCATTCTTCCCGCCACCTACGCCCGCCGCAGCGCCCGCGGGGGTCGGCGCCAGGGCAAAGCGCCAGTCGGCCAGCACGCCTCCGTCCTTTCTGAGCTGTGAAGACCTCCGTGACCGTCTCGGAGCGTGGGGCCTAGATGAGCCGGGAGCCCCGGAGGAACTGGATGAGCACGCGGTACACGAACGTGTACTGGCAGAGGGTCTGCACCATCAGCATCCGCTGCCGCCGCAGCAGGTCCAACACCCGCGGGACGTCCAGAGCCTGGCGGGGGGAGGGGGGTGAGGGCGCGGCTCCCGGTTGGAGGGGTGGGGGTCCCTCTGTGCCCGGCCCTGTTTCCAGCCCCCCTCTCCCCTTGGGGGGTTGGGGGGAGGGGTCCCTCTGTGCCCGGCCCTGTTTCCGGCTCCCCTAACCCCTCCGGGGGTGGAGGGGTGGGGGTCCCTCTGTGCCCGGCCCCCCTCTCCCCGCGCCCACAGAGGAGCAAGCACCTCGTTGTGCTCGAGGCAGGCGATCATGATCTCCGACAGAATGACGACGCCCGTCCGCCCCACGCCCGCACTGCAGTGGACCAGCAGCGGGGGGTTCGGGCTTTTGGGTTCGCTCGTGCTGTTCGTATGGCGTCGAACAGACTGGATCTCCTCGAGGTATGCTGTGAAACGTGGGTGACACAGACAGACACAAAGGGCCTTAGGCCGAGCAGACCGACCATTTTCAGGTCGTCTCCACTGGCTGAGAAGGCCCCAGACACAGAGCACCGGGTGCCGATGAACCAGCCCAGCTACTGACCCGCAGGGTGGTCTCGGGAGAGTTCCTGCCTTTACCTGGAAACCGGTTTTTCTCATCTGCAAAATGAAAAACTTCAGGGAACAGGAACTGCCTGGCTCACTAACCAAGTTATACTCTAAAACGTCTTCTGCTAAGCTTTCCCCGAATGCTTGAAATTTTCAGTTTAAAACAAGCCCAGCCTCGCATGCAACAATATAGAGGCGAGAGAGCAGCTCTGGGGCGGCCTCCGGCGCGGGAGCGCAGACACTCACACAGAAAGCCCTTGAGGTCCTCGGGGCAGCCGTGCTCCGGCCAGTCGGTGTACTGCAGGTGCCAGATGGTCCGCTCCTGCCCGCTGAGCAGGTGCTTCATCTTCAGGCCCGTGGTGGCGTAGCAGCCGGAGTCCGTGCGGAAGCGCGTGGTGATCTTGAACCGCCCGTAGGTCACGCTGTTGTGCCTCGAGCCGAGGCGCGGCCAGTACCTGAAGCTCTTCTCCCTTCCGCCCTCCTGTCAGAGACAGCGCTCAGAAAGCGGCCGGAGCGGCCGAGGATGCCCCTGCACGGGGAGCCGCGCCCCCGCCCCTTCCCTAAAGTCAGGACCCACAGCGTCACCGTCACTGCCCGGCTGAGGCCGCGAGAAGACCACGGGAGAGAAGTGAGCCCTCACCTCCTCCGCCGTCACCATGGCTATAATCGCGACCCCCTGCTCCCACACCATCTGCCAAAACTCCGGGCAGGTGTTCTGCAGCGGTCCCTGAGTGGCGATGTAGTCCCACTCGATCCCACGGACACAGACCTGAAATTAGAAACGGGCTTTTTAGAAACGAGTGTGTGTGCGTAACACAGGCATATACACTTGTTCGTGGTAATACTGGAAAAGGGAACTGAACTATTCAGATGAAGACTTTCATCTTATTCTTTTTCCTTGTTAGTGTAATTTCCATTACTGACACTTTTATAAGCATAAGCGTTATGAATTTATATAATGTCTACATGTGACCTGTATATATTTCCTTAACCTCTCCAAATCTCAGTTCTCATCTGCACAATAAAAATACTCCCTGCTCTCCTCTTGTCGGGATTGCTCGAGTCAACATATTCAATGCCCTGCACACGTCACGGTGTCAATAAATGGCTGTTATTCCTGCTGTTAGATGGTTCTTCTGAAAACAACATCAGCATCATCGCACCCCAAAGTTCAAACACAATCTTCCCTCGTGAAGCACGACGCACAGTAGGATCAAGTACAAGCAGTTAAGTCAAAAACCTAAGTCAAATGTCAAATTTCTAGGGGGAAAGAAAATGTCTTCCTACCTAAGGCGTTCACCACTGAACTCCTGAGCCAGATCACTCTCCATGATGATACTAAATTTCCACTTAAGATTGAAAAGGGTATTAAGATTGAACACCTCCTTGAAAACATTCTCGTAATTATGAGATCTGTAGTCAGGAGATGGGCTTAAATCTCGGCTCCCCCATACTGAGTGATGACCGTAATGGGCTTCCAGAGTGCCCCGGGTAAACCCTGGGACGAAGACGCAGCCCGAGTCATGCCCCCGCGCTCCCACGCGGCCCCAGGGCCCATAGTGAACAAGGACCAGGGCGAGGGGCTGGGGGCTGGGGGGGCCATGCACTTCCCGACTCAGAGGTCAGTACAGCGGCCCACACGGCGCACTGCAGGGTGATCTGGGAATTCCTCCCGCTGCTGCTGAAGACCTCGAAATGCCACCACGGAGCCTCAGCGTTCTTCAACTCTCACCCCTCCAGTCGAGGGAGACGGGGTACACGATTCCAAAGAAGTGCTCCTCAGTCAGGTCCAACTCTGCACAACCCCATGGACTGCAGCCCTCCAGGCTCCTCTGTCCACGGGATTCCCCAGGCAAGGATGCTGGAGTGGGGGGCCGTGCCCACTTCCAGGGGATCTTTTCAACCCAGGGGTGGAACCCAGGCCTCTTATGGCCCTGCACTGGAGGGTGGGCTCTTTACCACTAGCGCCGCCTAGAGAGCAAAGCTTGTGCGTGGAACTCTGCTGGCTGCTCTGTGGCCGCCTGCAGGGGAGGGGGTTTGGGGAGAATGCATGCCTGCAGGTCTGGCTGAGTCCCCTCACTGTGCACTTGAAACCATCACAGCATGGTTAATCGGCTGCACCTCCGAACCAAATTAAAAGTTTTTAAAAACAAAAAGCTCATGCACAGATTCCCAAAGACTGTCAAGGGCAGACTGCTGGGTCCGGGAAGTCTCACTTGCGAAATGGCTCTCATCCAACGTCACCTGCAAACTGAATAAAATGTGGGAAAGAAGAAAGGTAACACCTGATCATGGATACTTCCTCATTCACTCACTATAAGGAAACATCTTCTTTCCAGAGTTAGGAACTGACTGTGCAGCCAGCGTGAACAGAGGCGGCGACGATGGAGAAGACAGAGCTTCTGGCTTTTCTCACCTCCCCCAGATGGACCATCCCTTTTTCCACTTTACTGGGCGGAACCTTACTCAGGTACATGGCATTACCCTGTTTCCGGGGGGGAATGCGGCACCGCTTGCCCACGGAACAAAACGGTGTTTAAAAAGGAGTGAGAGAGTGGGCAAGGAGCGCAGACGGGCTCCAGTGTGAGGGACGGCGTTGGTGACACCACCCGACACACACGTGCGTCACACCAAAATGCACGGAGGTGAGTGACAAGGGAAAACAAGCCATTCAGCTGCTCCTGAGAGAACCTGTGAGCTAGAGAGGGCTCCAGATTCAGAAGCACCAAGTGCTCCAGGCAGACGGACGAGCAACCCGGAAGTCCTGGGGACGAAGCTGGGGCCAGGGGAACCAAAGACCATCCCGCCCTGGGGTATGGATTTACCAGCCTGCAGAACAGTCTGTCAAAATGGTTCCAAACGAGGGTGTTTTTAGAAAACAGACTTGAAAGCAAGCCTCACCCCTCTTGTGTTACTCATTTAACTGCAGGACTCTGCCCCACCATTCTAACACTCCCCTCACCTTGATGTGGGAGGCGTTGATGTAGCCGGTGTTGTTCTCCTTGGTCGGGACCAGCTCCACCCTGGCGTCGTCGTAGGGAAGCACATCCTGGAACCGATTTCTTTCTGCGTTTTCAGGGAGGCGGGCTGTGGAGCACTCGCCGTCAACTAGCCGTTTTTTAAGAATTCGTTCATATTCTGTGAATACCATTCCCTGCTCTAACCGCTGTTCCAGAATTTTACACTGAAAAACACAAAGTGAGGAAGAATATGACTGCAGTCACAGGCCACACGCAGCTGCATCCTGACTGCATGTCTGAAAACTCGCTTTCTGCCTCAAGTCTAATGTTATCCAATACTGAAAATTCTAGGTGAAACGGAAGTTAAATTTAACAAGTCATTACAATGAAAGGACAAATGAAATAATCTTCTTGGTGAGAAATATAATGCAAACTTCTGTTTAAACTTGTTCTAGAATAATTCATTGAATTCATTTTCTCTAAATCTATAGTCAATCACTTGACTCCCTTAGAAGGTTTGGGACTGACGCATATACATTGCTGTAGTTAAAATGGATAATCAACAAGGACCTGCTGGCAAGCACAGGAACTCTGCTCAATGTCAGGTGGCAGCCTGGACGGGAGAGGGGTTTGGGGGAGAATGGATACATGTACACGGATGGCTGAGTCCCTTTGCTGTCCACCTGAAAATATCACAACATTATTAATTTTAATTACCTGACCCCTTAAGAATAGAAAATTCTCCTGGAGAACAGTAAATCCTAGAGTAGGATAATTAATTCCAACTTCTATGAACAAGAGCTTCAATTTTGTAATATGACATATAAAACACTAAAATAGTCAATGTTGGAAATTATCTCCAGGATCCAGCTGTAAGCACAGTAATTTCTGCTTAGCATAATTCACGCCTGCCCAATTTTGACAGAATAGAACCTCACAGCAAATACGTCTCAGTCACAAGGAAAGTTTTGAAAAACTCAGTAACTGTTCACTGTTAAAAGGTTACGATATCAGGACAGCAGTCATTGTCTGCTTTCTTTCCTATGAGTACTCACATGCAATTGCTGATTTATTCTAACTTTACGGCCACAAGAAGGTAAATAACAACAGCCAGAAAATCAACATTTAGCCTGAAATGATCTATTGAGGCATTTATAAGCTTGCCCAGTTTTGCAGTCCAGGTGACAAAGTTCCTAATACTCCTGTGAGATTATCAAATGGCTTAGAAAATCCAGCAGATTCTCAGGAAGGCGGCTCTGCTGCGCGGCTGTCCCCGAGAAGGTGGGCGGCCTGCGGTCCTGTACGTACCCTCTCATCATTAGTGGCTCTGGCCGGCACGTCCTTCTCCTCATCAGGCAGCGGCAGTCGAGACAGGGAGAGTCCATTTAGAGCAGCCAATTTGAGAGGACCGATTTTTTTTGCATCTCCTCGGCTCTTTTTCATTCCCTGCAAAAATATTTACAGGTATATATATCAAACATACATGCATGCAATCCCTCTGAGAAGAGATTTCAGTGAACTGAAGACAGGAAAGAAACAGAGGGAGGGAAGGTTCTCCTAAACCAACCACCGCAGAAGAGATGAGATGATGACGCTCACACACACACACACATTTGTTTCACAAATATGAGGAGGAAGACATTCCATTCAAGGCCAAAGCCCTGATAAGTCTTCCAGATAGAAGGTTTTGAAATGCAGCTGGTTTCAGGGCTCTGTTGTAATGGAAGGTGAGGTTCCAAGCAGACGGCATTCCTTCACGGGATTCACAGGGCTCCTGAATGTCAAACTGTGACACGCACGAAACTCAGCTGCAGTCCACGCTGAGGGTTCGGATGTCGTGGCCTGGCTGTAGTGAGCTTCCACATGGCAAAACGACAGCTTCTCCTCAGTGTTTTCTGCGGCGGCTCTGCTGCGTCCTACAATCCGTGGCAGACTCGTGTGACTCGGGTTAGACTACCACACTTCTGGTAAATGCTGCCTTTTCAAGTGAAGAAAACAGCAGGGCCAAAATCTCTGTCGTTACACCATGAGAGGGTATGAGAGAGGGCATCCGTGGAACTCTGTCTTCTGAAAACTGGGCTTTCTTCAAGCCAGCAATTTTGCTCTCACAGGCAAAGGAGCCCAAGAATGCCAAGTCCTCTTTAATAGTCTACACCTCCTGGGAAGCCATGGGATATAATTATAATGACGGCAGCCCTACTCTGACAGAAATGGTTTCCTCAGTTCTGTTTCATAAATGAAATCAACTCTACCCCAGCTCTGTCAGCCTCACAGGGAGCCGGAGAGAGAGGCCCACAGACTACCAGGTTCCTGCTCAGGAGACAATGTCATGATTCTTGGGTGTACGGGAAACAGGTAAGCAGCTAACAGTGCGCTGGGGGGGGGGGCATTCTGATGTATGAGGCTTGCCAGGTTCCAGGGTGCAAATTCTCCCACCACGGCTAACGTCAATCTGCCTCATGAGAGCCTGGAAATGGAATACTTAGCTCCCGACAGCCAGAAATGGCCCCAGCACTTCTCGGCCTGAAAATGCTCCAGCACACGTCCTGGGTGATTGCTAAGGTCAACTGTAAAGCCAGTATTTGAAGGGGCTCATAGTCAAAACTCACCCCAAACACCCCTCACTTAGCTGTCAGAGGTTTTAAATGTACAGGCTGAATGGTGGTTTCTCCTGTGAGAACCACCACACAAGACTGAGGGTGAAACAAAAATTCTTTATGTAAACACACAAGCATTCAAACCAGTCCACCTCTGCCTGATAGCAATCAAGTCCCTGCAGGTGGAGACGGGTGGAGAACTCCAGAATGTACCTGCTTATCTGCAATTCATTTCACTGTTTTTAGTACTAAACCTCCATAACCATAATTCACATAGTATCTTCATTCGCTTGTGGTCACCATTAAAACAACAAAGGCAACCGGGAGTTACTACAAAGGGGGTCAGAGGGGTAGCAGGGGGTTGAACTCCAGCTCTTGGGAAGTCAGTCAGTTAAATGTATGATGCAACCTCACAATAAGTTAAACTTGACTGAGCACCTTCTACGAGCCAGGATCTCACTTTTTTTCCTCCAACAACTCCCTGGGGTTGTCTCAATTACAAATGAAAAAACAGGAGTCAGAGAGATTAAGTTCCTGGTCCAAGGTCATACGAGCTAGCTGCCTCCTTATATATGGTAAACAGGCTCAAAACAATAGAAACCCTGCATTCAAGTCAGTCGTGCTAAAACACTTTCTGAGTCTAACCTTAAGTGGGACCTAACACCGCACCACAGAAGACAGAGGAGGGGTGCCCGTCACGGATGGAGGAGCTGAGGGGCTGGTGTGTGAAGGGCCTGGCCCCCTGGGAGAGAACCAGTGAACAGCACGGTCTGGACTCAGAGCCGATTTCCACTCTTAGGTCCTGTACCTATTCCCAGGCCACGGCTGCCATTCACGTCTTCCCTAAGAACGTTCCTTATTTGAAAAGACCGGGGCGGGGGGTGGGGGTGCTTCCCTGGTGGTCCGGTGGTTTGGAGTCTGCCATGCAGGGGACGCAGGTTTGATCCCTGGTCTGTGAGGATTCCACCTGTCCTGGGGCAACTAAGCTTACACGCCGCAAACAAGGGGAGCAGAAGCATAACTCAGTCCACGGTCTCACTGACACTGTAGGCCTCCAAGTCAAGGAGGGAGGCATCTTGCACCTTTAGAGAACCCAAATCACAGTCCTCAGATTTAGCAGAGCTTGCTGGGCCCATTCAAAAACTACAGGGACAACAGGCTTGAATACTGGACCCTACTCATCTGGGGCCAGACTCAGGCCCCTCGTTAAGAACTAGGCACAGTCCTTGATGCAATCAGTGAAGAGTGTCAACTACCAGAGGGCCGGAGCGACAGGTGAGGACTCAGGCTGAGTTACTCCTTCCAGGAGACACATCCACACCCCGTCCCGCCCTGAATCACCAACACTGGGCCATCCCCTCCTCTTCAGCTGACCTGAGACACTGGCCTTTACTGTAGGCAGCTGAGTAAGAATGCACTCCCAGGAAAAAGTGAAAATCAACTTAGAGAGAGCCCACTTGCCAGGACAGGAAACATGGGGGTCCAGCCCCTGGTCTGGGAAGATCCCACGTGCCTCGAAACAACTAAGGTGCAGCGACTGAGCCTGGGCCACAGCCACAGCCCCGAGGAGCCCCAGCGGAGAGCAGCCTGCCCGCCGCCCCTGGAGAAAGTCCACACGCAGCAACAGAGATCCCGTGCAGCTAAAAGTGAAGTGACTGGTTTTCCAAAACAAACTTACAGTTCAAGACCATTCAAAGAAAACACATTTAAATCCACAGCACTGTTAGTCGTTCGAGTCTGTGTACTCTCATCTATTTCATAACCACTGTTAGGAATTCTCCTCATGCTTATGAAGATGTTTGTGACGTCTCAGAGGATCGAATAATACAAGAGGCCAGGACCACATTTGCGACGGGCCCTCACGTCTGAGCGTGCTGACCAGCAGAAACAGGAGGCAGAGGCCCGAGCTGCCAGGACACGGGGGTCAATGGCGAGAGCGAATGCGGAGGTTAATGAATCACTCTCACCCGGCAAGAGCCCCGGGCATGGGGAACGGAGGCCTGAGAAAAGCGGAGTCTGAGTCGGGCAGCCAGATGACCCAGAGGGGACATGCGGACATGAAAACGCCACAAATGCCTGGGCAACGCTGGGGGCCTCACAGTGAAAAGGTTTCAGTGGGAAGAGAGAAAACAACAAGGCTGAGACAAGCAATTATTACTTAATAAAATGTGTGTGTGTGTGTGTTAGTTGCTCAGTTGTGTCCAACTCCTTGCAACCCCAGGGACTGTAGCTCTCCAGGCTCCTCTGTCCATGGGATTCTCCAGGCAGGAATACTGGTGTGGAAAGCCATGTCCTTCTCCAGGAGATCTTCCTGACCCAGGGATCGAACCCAGGTCTGCATACAATATTTTAAAATACCCAATACAACCTCAATGCAGAACAGTGTAGAAGAGAGGAGAACCGGTTACAGAGACAAATATGGGTTTAAAATCCGGTCACTTATGAGCTGTGTGACCTTGGGAAAGTTACTGAGTATCTCAGAGTACACCTTCTCATCTGTAGAAACAACAGGCCTGTGTAAAGTGGACACAGTGAAGCAGATGGCCTGCTCCGCTTGCAACAAATGCTCTGGGAACGGCCTTCACCAGCTAGAGATGATGCTATGCTGTTCCCTAGTTTGCCTCAAGTAGATAAGAAAGTGCTTAAATCAGCATGCTTTATCACACCGAGTATGAAGGAGCTGCATTTTCTACCAGGGACCTTCCTCGGGCTCTCAGCTCGCTCAGTCTCTTTTTTAAAGACATCTGGGGTGCTCAGGTGTTTGGTCTTGGCAAACAGCCCAGAATCACCCTCCAGTCCCCAGAGATCACAGCACAGCAGTTTAATCCGCACCCACACAGACCCCACTAAGGACACCTCAGGGGAGCTTCCCTGACCTCACAGGAGCCCCAGGCTGTTTTCACCTGGGGCTCACAAGGCGGTCTTGGCCCAAATCATGAAATCCTCACTTCCTCTTCCCTTGTACCACCTTCTGGAAACTACCCATTCACTGTTTCTCTTCCATTCCACAGAGCCTCCTACATTCACCTTTCCCTCCATCTAAGCCATTATCTCTAGCAATGTCACCAAGATTCTGATCAATCCCCATCATTTCCATAGATAGTCAATCTCAGAGTGTTCCAAAATAAAGCAAAAATGGGGTAAAACGTGTGTGTCTGCTGGGAAACGGGGCTGTTTGAAAGAAGTTCTAAGGAAAAAGCTGAAAACATCAGAAGTCACAGACAAGACGGACAAAGGGCAGACGGTGCAGAGAAGGGCAGGTCTGCAGGGGGCACAGCGCTGCGGGGTGAGGCCCCCCGCGCCCACCCCGCACGGCGCACGGCTCACCCCCAGCGGCGGAAGCCCTTCCACCGCGTTCTTCTTCGCGGAGAGGAGATCAGATGTCGGCCTCTTCTGCAGCGAGTCCCTACGGGCGCGGTACCTGCCTGACGTGGTGAGGTCTGACTCAGATGCAGAAGGTGACAACAGCCCGTCCCGCCGGGGCCGCGGGCCCTCCCCGGGCGCAGCGCCCGGGGCCTGGGGCTCCAGGATGTGCAGGGGCCCAGGGGCTGGAGGTGCGGCACGGGGGCCGTCCAGGGGGCGTCCGCTCCGGGAGCCGGGCGGTGGCACAGGCCCCTCCTCGGGGTCCTCGTCCTCATCCTCGTCGCTGCTGTGGATCAGCACGGTGGCGTCGGACAGGGACTTTCCGTGCCCGCCTTGTAGGCTGCCCCGCGGCCCGACGGCGCTGTCCTCCGCCCGCGGCGCCGGGGCCGGCGCGGCCCTCTCCTGCAGCCGCAGGCCCTCGAGGCCGTGCGCCAGGCCGGCCAGCTCGATGCTGTTGCGCTCCTGCAGCCGCGCGCGCCGGGCAGCTGTCAGTGGCTCGCTCACCTCCTGCAAGGAGTGCGCCACCGGCGAGCTGTCCTCCTGGAAGGTCTGCACGGAGTGGTGCACGCGGCGCGTGATGAGGTCGGGGCTGCTGCTGGCGGGCGGCTGGCGGGACAGGTCCGGGGTGCTGTTCGCCGGCCGCGGGTGCGGGTAGGGGGGCGGCGGGCGGTACACCTGCGTCCTCAGGATGCTGGGCGCAGGGCAGTCGCGCGCCTGCAGCTGCGCGTTGGTCAGCTCGGGCACGCTCACGGCGCCCAGCCCCGGGCGCCGCCCGGCCGCCGAGGCGTAGGGGTAGGGCGCCGGGCTGTGGAAGCTGTGGCTGAGGCTGAAGGCGCCGGGGGCCGCGGGCGGGGAGCCTGGGCGCGCGTGCTCTCGGATCTCGGGCTGGCTGTACACCAGGCTGAGATTCCGCAGCGAGCGGCTGTGCCGCTCGGCCGGCGCCAGGCCGCGCTGCAGCTGCTTCATGACCGTCTCGTAGTCGGGGGTCGGGCGGTAGGACGGCGGGATCAGGGCGCTGTGCCGGTGCGAGGGCACGTAGTCGGGTCTCAGGACGTCGCTGCCCGTGATGCTGGGGTTCGAGGAGCCCGGCGAGGGCTGCAGGTAGGGCTGCGGGCTGTTCAAGGAGCTGGTGCTGTGCGCGCTGTACACGCTGCCGTTGCGGACGCGCCCGCCGAGCTCGGCCTGCGCGCGGTCCAGGCTGGTCTGAGAGTGGCAGTAGAAGCCATTCTGGTTGGTCACGAAGAGGTTATCTGCGGGCGGGGGGACAAGACCGTCAGCAGGCACTTTATAAGGAGATTTTTTTCTAAATGTTCTAGATTGGACCAATTACTCAAGACAAACACTGGGACAGCCTGAACGCTGATGACCTCCGCCCTGCGGTTTATGAAACCGGGCTGAAGGGACCCGCCTCTACTCACACCGCCGGACCCTAGACGCGCGGTTTCTGGGCACCTTGCCTCCCCACCTCCAGAATGGGGTGGTTTTGCCTGCTCTAAGAGCGGGATTCAGGACCTCACACCCAGTAAAGAACAGCCAAATCTACGCTCAATATTAAGAGTACAACTGTACCACTAAACACTGCCCTCTTCTTAAAGTCAAGAGCATGTGTTTTACTAAAGACAAAGCAGGCTTTCCAGAACTCTGGGGAGCTGAAAGCAGAAATACCCTTGGGTGTGCGGCCCTGCTGATGCTGAGCGAGTTCAAGCACCGACTGTCTGTAAACATTTCCTGAAATGAAACTCAAGGCGGGTTGTGTAATTCCTCCAGAATGAAGATAACAGGGCAAAGAGTTCAGCAGGATCTAAGCCTCTCGAGGTCCACGAGTGTCACTGGCAGCTGCACACCTCACCAGGGGCCGGAAGCCAAGAAGACCCCCACAAAGACAGCAGCACCTGCCTCAGGCCCCGACCTGAGTAAGACGGGTCACAGCGAGCAGAGTTAGGAGCCTCATCTCTCCACGGAGGCTGCGTGTGCACCTGCTCAGGCTGAAAGGAGGCCTGCTTCTTCAGTCCAGCCTGCAGTTCGCCTGAGAAACTACCCAGGGTGACTTCTAACACGTCAATGGAAAGACCGCCAGAGAACAGTTGCCATTGATAAAAAACATTCTTTTTTTCTACTCAAAAGCCTCATGGTGGCTTTATCCAAGGGAACAGGCCAGCGTCTCACGTATGGTCTCTGTTGGGTGGCATACACAGCCACAATGACACAGGCCTGTCTCCCTGCGGACGCACCGAGCTTATCCTGTTTGGAAAGTGCTCTGAGGCCTGCGTCTGTGGCGCCCCCTCTGCTCACAGCCGTCACGGCTCGCTCAGCCTCACCCCCCGCCTGTAGTGTAATACCTGCTGGTCCTGCTCTGCACACCCCCAAACTATCCAATTACCAGTCTGCATGTGTAGAAGACTCTGGGTGCGGTATGTGTAGGGAATGATTACGACCAGACAAATAAAAAGGGAAAGTACAGAAATCACCAGAGCCCAAGGAAGAAGTGTTGCAACTGAAGGAGGGAAGAGTTGCAAGTGAAGGAGCCAGAGTCACAGGAGCCGGGGGTGGGAAGGAGCACTTCCGGCTGGGGCTAAGTGATGGGGTCAGGGACACCTCCGGGACACACGGCATGTGGGGCCTGGAGGGCGGGCAGCAGTCGGGCCCCCTGGCTCTGGGCGCTCTCGGGGTGCCCTCCTCCCTGCGGGCAGCACAGCCGCATGTGGAGTCACAGCCCACGTGAGCAGAGCGTACAGAGGCAGCCCCCTGCCCCTTCCCTGGCCACCCTGGCCACCCGTGCAAAGGGAAGGGGCTCCAGCCCAGAGCCCTCCTGCCAGAGCAGCGGGGCAGGTAACCCGAGGAGGGGTGCACGTGCCCACAGAAGCCACGGGAGTTTGAGTCTGTGCCCACAGCACAGGCAGTCTGGCGGAAGCGCGTGGGCAGGGGTAGGCAGGAAAAGGACGCGGAGAGTGACAGACCGGGGCGGGCAGCAGGGAGACGGCAGAGACGGCGTAGCTGGAGGAGCCTGGGGCTGGAGAAGGCACGGGACAGGCGGGGCCGTGAGACCTCGAACAGGAGCACTGAGAGACATCTCAGAGGACGCGCAACACTAGACAAGGGATCGACCGGCAGGGAAGTGGGATGAGCCGGGCCGCTGAGTGTCAGATGACCCAGGGAGGGTGGGAACTGAGGATGTCAGTCAGCTCCTGTGATGCAGTGACTGATGAGAGGTCTCAAAAAAAAAAAACCAGACTGCATTGGCAGGAGCAGACGGATAGGGAGAAGGAGATACAGAACAGATGCTCCATGAAGTTAATCAGAGGCAAGAGGATTTGCAACTGTCTGGGAACTGAAGGCAAAAATGAGAAAAGAAAAATTACAAGCAGTTTGGAATCCCAGTTAACTAGGCGGGCAGGGGCGTGGGTGGGGGCGCAGTGACTTCACCATAAGGAGAAGGGAAGCCGGGGAAGGGACTTTTGGAGCAGGGTGATGAGTGCGACTCCAGGATGTCAAGCCTGCAGCACGCGGTGGCAGCAGAACCAGCGCTCCCACTCAGCCCGAGGTCCTGAGGGCCCCCTGAACGGCCCCCAGCCTGCCGGACAGGGGGCACGTGGGGCCAGAGCTCAGGAGTGAAGGTGGGCTGGAGAACACGGACAGTCCTCCTCACTGAGACCCCAACTGCGGATGAGAGGAGATCAACTGGACGCCTGCGGAGGGAGCGGGCCCTGGGCAGACCTTCGGGGCAGGGAACACCAAGGGGGCAGGAGCGGGAGCGGCCAGCGCGCTGGGGTCCGGAGGGAGGGAGGCTGTGCGGGGCCCGGGGACCTGCGCGAGGGCAGCTTGGCGGAGCAGCACAGGCTCGAGGGGAAGGGGGACAGTAAGCAGAAGGGCACACAGGTTATCAGGCTCAGAAGCGGGGAGAAAATGAAAGAAAAGATAGTTCACGCTGCAGTCTGGAGAGAGAGGAAAGACATTAGGATGCTCGCAGATGGAGGAAAAGGGAGGAACAGAGAGGAAATATAGTGCAGAGAAGAGAGATTTTGGGGGGGGTCACAAAACCGCAGGAGGGCAGCATGCAAGGAGAAGCCAGTGAAGAAGGTAGAAGTAACATCCTGAGGCGCACACTCTGCAGCCAAATCCATCCCCGAGTTCCCCCGCCCCCACCAGCTCACCGCAGGGAAACTCTCACCAGCAACACGCCACCACCCACCTCCTGGTCCCCTCACATGCCGCCCTCCACAGTTCCCTGTGGGTCTGAGTCCAAGCACCTGCTTCGCCATCTGTGCCGGGGCAGTCACCCCCCACCTCCACCCAAGAGCAGGGGCAGCGGCCCCACCTGGGAGCTTGCCGCTCCCCGCCTTCCCAAGTCACCCCTCTTTCCAGAAAGCCTTCCTCAGACGACCCAGCTCACTCTCGTCACAACACGCCTGTTCCCTTTGTACCTAAGTCATCTGTGTACTTGGGTTATCCTCCTGTATCTAAGCTTCTTAAGATGTAGAATTACCTCTCTGCATCCATCTCCCCGCCTTTATAGCAGAGCCTTGTGACAGAGTAAAGTAAAATGCTTGTAAAATGAATGCTGGAGATACAGCTTCGGAGGCGCTGTCTTCACATAGCTCAATATGCCCGTTGTTTAAAGGATAAACATAAATAGAGGAAAATAATCCTTTACAACGGGAAGGTCTCAGGCAGGAAAAAACGCAGAACAAGCCTGGGACCTCTGGGGCTGGAAAGCACAGAAGCGCTCAGAGCCCACGGGGCACATGTTAACAAGACCTGGGAGCCAGCCTGAAGGAGTGCCCATGGGCCAAATTCAGGATCAAATCTGAGCATCAGAATCTGATGCTGCATGTTTTCTACCCATACCCAAACAAAACTGCCTCTAACAGCAGCCTCTCTTATGAATCCAGGCTGGCTATCATCATGACAGTAATTCTGTGAAATTAAATTTTAAGTTATTTGTGTAATAACTTCAGCCAAAAATCTATCCTGGCTTCAAGATCTCCAAGCCTTCACGATTTATTCAAATTATACTAATTTTGTAAGGCATTTCAGAAATGGTGTACTTTACCGAGGGAAGAGGTGTATGGCTCTGTATAATGTCCATTATACTGCAGCTGGGGTGGGGCGGCCATCACATAGGGTTGCGGCTTGGGCTAAGAATCGGAAAGTTGGAAACAGGGTTAAAAGACATTGTCTATGGGATATGTGTAGAACAGTTCTTTTCTGGCTTCTTTCTCTTCATTGAGAAACTTTTGAAGGAGCCTGACGCATTATGTATGAAAAATAAATATCAAGACCCTATAGCTCTTACCCTATCTATCCTTTTCAGGGTTTCCCAGAAAGGCAATGCTAAGTGCTATGCTCTGATATCAGACAGCAGACAGCACAAGAAAGCAGGAGCAGACACAGATTTCCTGAATTCTTATATAAATAATCGATTAGAACAAACTTCTATGTACTATATTTAATCTTATTAGCAAATTTTAAATATCTATTAACTTCTGATTACTCTTGGCTAATAGTCAATGTTTTCAGTATCAAGTTGGACCTAATATTTTAAAATATATAACACAATAAATGTTACATATATAAATATTAGTTTTAAGTTGCAGAAAATCACCATTTCTTTGGTCAAATGTCAGCATACTTCAATGGTTCAGACTAAAAACTAACACTGCTAAAAGCGTATTTTATTAAGGAAGGCAACAGCACTAAACAAAAAAAGGCAATTGTAATTTTCCTTCTTTCTTACCAGAGACATCCTCGAAGACGACCTCCTCCTAATTGGGTTCACTATGACAGTCTGAGTCTGCCTGTAAAAATAAGACATGTCCTTGAGAAACACATATACACATGCTTATATGCACACAATCTTCCTAAACATGCTAATAAGAAAGTAAAGTGATAAATCTTCCCAAGCGACAAGCTCATCCAATCATCAAACAGAGAAAAGGCAGGCGGTCCCCCAGCCGCACTCCAGGGTCTGAGCCTCGCGGAGCAGCCATCAGTCACCTGGACGAGCCCAGGGCCGGGCAGGAGGAACCGTCCCCGGTCCACGCAGGCAGGCCCTCTGGAGGCAGCAGCAGCGCGGAGGGGGGTGCCAGGCGAGAGGGCCACAGACTCATCCCCAGGGGAGAGTCAGCGCAAATGCCTCTCCTGCGGGCTGGGCTCAGCGCTGACCACCTCCGTTCTCAGTCCTCAGGACTGACGTCAGCTGCCAGCCTCAGAGCCAGAGGCAATGCAGTGCCTTTGACGGACAGCCTGTGAGCCGCGGACCACACATATGATCAAGAGACAAGCTGGGAACTTGGGAAACTTAGCAATATGTGTGTTAGCTGCTCAGTCGTGTCTGCCTCTTTGTGACCCCATGGACTGTAGCCCACCAGGCTTCTCTGTCCATGGGATTCTCCAGACAAGAATACTGGAGTGGGTTGCCATTCCCTTCTCCGTAAGAATAGACATTTCCTCTAAGAAACTAAGGTAGGGAGAGCAAGAGAGCAGGAACATCGGTTCAGTGGGCTGGTGGTAACTCCATTTACTTTCCTCTGCAAGAAACTTCTCTCTGGTTCTAAGTGTACTTTTAAAAAAGCAATGAAAAGTATTCAGGAGTCCTGGCTAACATTATCAGATAATTTGAGATTTTAAGCTACTCAGAGCAAGCTCCATCTCTGAATAAACATAGGTCACAAATAAGAAAAAGAAAATTCCTTTTGTCAGAATCTACCTTTTAAAGATAAAGGCAGGAGTTTTTGTTGTTCATGTGTGTGGTCAGTTTTATTGCAAATAAGATCTAGGAACCTATACACATAGGATTCTTGAGTTTGTTCATGATGCAATTTTGTCAAAGCACTTTTTGAAAAACCTTTAAGCATCTATTCCTGGCCCATAAGCTTATGTGACATGTAATTACAGATTACCAAAAATGTCATCCTTGGTTATAGTGTTCCTAAGGACTAATTACTAGAAAATCCATCACAAAGTGACATTACCTCCATTTAATCAGTACATTTACTATCACAAGCCTCAAGTCTCAAAAATTATTCTCAGCACTGTAACAACAAATTTCATATATTAAATCCCTAAATATTAGCTAATTTATATAAGATTTTTGAGATAAAAGAAAATTACTCCTAATAGGAGCTATCAAGTAGCTGCAACTGCTTTTATGAGTTGACTTTTTTTGATTAAACACTTTTTTAAAAAAACTTCCTTTTATTATCATTGGAACGTATTAAGATTGTTGATGAAGAATAGAGGTCTCTTTCCCAAAGGATGCTCCCATTGTGCCTGTAATTATTACGCAACAAAAATAAAATGGATGTCAATTCCATTAGATTGCAAAAATACCCACATCAGTTGGTAAAACATTATTAGTAAAGTCAGGAGGGTGTATCTGAGCCTTTTCCCCCCTTATTTATTTTTAATTGAAGGACAATTACAATATTGTGATGGTTTCCGCCATGCATCAACATGGGTCAGACACAGGTGCACACATGTCCCCTCGCTTGGGAGCCTCCCGCCCCTCTAGGTTGTCACAAAGCGCCGCTCTGAGTTCCCTGAGTCAGAGCAGACCCCCCCCGGCTGTCTGTTTCACAGGTTAGCTCTTTCTGAAAACGCTCCTTCGCTGCACGGTATTGCTGTTTAGTTGCTAAGGCCTGTCTGACACTTTGCCCCATGGACTGCAGCCCTCCAGGTATAGACGTCAAGCCTTCTGCATTGGCAGGCTGGGTCCTTTAGCCCCAAGCCAACAGGGTTGGCTCCTTAACTGCACGTTCATATATTCCTCAGCTGAGAATCCAGGATTTGAAGACACTGCATTCTGTAGCCTCGAGGTTTACCTTCCCTTTACTCTCCATCGTCAGGGCTAGGTTCAGGCCATGCTAGTTGGCCTCTGAAGTTTATATGTAGTCCAGAGACTCACTAAATTGACTAAACCTTTAAAGGACTACAAATTCAAAATGCAGAGATGAGGGAAAAGGCCGTTGATAGGATCTTCCGACAAGGTGTCCAGAGTTGCCCAGCCGGACACAAAAACAAAGGCTGTTAAAGACGAAGCCCAAGGATGTGAGCTTAGGAGCAGAGGCAGCACCCCACACAGGAGTCTATTCTGGTACCTTGCTGGCAGCCCCCAGGATGGAGGCGGCACCGCAGAGGCCACTTCTGCTAAAAACAAACCAGGACGTCTGCCTCCTGCCCAGCTGACATAGGCAGCCTCTCCATCGGGTCTACATATTCTAACCTTCTCTTTCTTCTTGCCAAAATCCTTGTCAATGCAGTTTTCTAGGAGACCAGCTAAACTTAGTACACAGGAGAGAACGGTTAACAGTTGGTAGTGTTTGGGGGCAGTTACTATGCTGGTGGGTGCTTCTAAAAAATGAGACAACTAAAGATCTTGGGGGGGGGGAAATCACTGCAATGTGTGTATTGGAGAAGACACAGTGAGAAAAGGCTGTTAGCCCAAGTAAAACAAACGATATTACCTACTGAAACAGTGTGAAAGGCTATATACGATTACCTCGGGGAATCCAAACACCAACTCCGAGAAGGAGGCTGGTTATTATCCTGATTTTACAGATAAGGAAACTGATACTTAGATTAACTAAACTGCTCCTGGTCACATGGCAAATAAGCAGAACTGGCATTAGAATCAGGCGGGTCTGTCAGATTCCTGAGCACACACTCCTAAAAGCCTGATTACCTGTCTGACGCCCCCCACCCCAACAGATCACAAGGGCTCCAAAGAGGCAAAGGACACACCACCACACCACTGGTGCACGGCATACAAGGAAGGCGCCAAACGTGTGAATGAACAGTGAATGACACAGTGAGGGAGGACGAAAACGGACACTTGTGGCTGAGCACTGACCATCTGGGCTTCCCTGAGGCTCAGCTGGTAAAGAATCCACCTGCAGTCCCAGAGACCCTGGCTCAACCCCTGGGTCAGGAAGATCCCCTGGAGAAGGGATAGGCTGCCCACTCCAGTATTCTTGGGCTTCCCTGACAGCTCAGCTGGTAAAGAATCTGCCTGCAATGCGGGAGACCTGGGTTCAATCCCTGGCTTGGGAAGATCCCCTGGAGAAGGAATAGGCTGCCCACTCCAGTATCTTGGGCTTCTCTTGTGGCTCAGCTGGTAAAGAATCTGCCTGCAATGCAGAAAACCGAGGTTTGGTCCCCGGGTCAGGAAGATTCCCTGGAGAAGGAAATAGCCACCCACTCCAGTGCTCTTGCCTGGAGAATTCCAAGGACAGAGGAGTGGGACAGGCTGCAGTCCATAGAATCGCAGAGTCAGATACGACTGCAACTAAGTTTCACTTTCACTTACAATTTACACTTTGAGCTGTAAAGACAGTGAATTTCTAAGAGCCGACTTTTGCTTTGTACGCTTTCTTTCTTGTATATTTCCAGCTATAGAGGAGTGAGATTCTGATGCACAAAAAATATATTGGGTAGTGGAAATACCCAGAAAATGTTGATCTCAGTGACTTTCCTTAATGGGACAGGGGCTTTCTCATCTTCCAGGCTTCTCACAGTGTCTTCAAAAACCCTGCAGTAGGTCTAGAAGAAGGGGGACAGCCCCAGCTCCCTCTGGGCAGGGCCAGTCCATCTCCTGATCACAGAAGTCTCCAGAACAGACTAGCTGCTGTATTTGGCGGCAGCCCTAAACTGCAGGAACACTCGCCAATGCTGACAAGGCTGAGCAAGCAGCCCACGGGTGACAGGAATTCAAGCTCCCCTCTAGAGAAAGTCAGCGGAAACTTCTACCGCTCAGCTTTGTAGGTTGGGGGACAGCACCCCACCTCTCCCCAGAGAGGAGAGAGAAGAGCTCCCCACACACCAAGAACCCGCTCAAGGTTCTGTTCCCCTCCGATTCTTCTCGTGCAAATTCAACAGGTCAATGATAGCATGACTGGGTCTGGGGCTTGGGGTGGCAGAGAAGGGGAGAGCAGTCATTTGACCTAAGAAACTGTCATTACCTCATTTAAGTCCTATTCCAACTCTGAAGAAATGTCAAATAAAACTCACATTATCCTCATGCTATAAATTAAAAGAGCAAAGAGAGAATTTCCCTGGTGGTCCAGTGGCTAAGACACTGTGCTCCCAACACAGGAGACGCGGGCTCCACCCCTGGTCGGGGAACTGAGATCCCACATGTCACGGGGCAACCGAGTCCAAGTGCTGCAACGTAAGGGGAGCCTGTGCACTGCAGCAAAGACCAAGCACAGCCAAAAATAATAGTTCATCTTCTTCACCTGGGGGACAAGTGCTACATTCACTTCTAGAATGAAGTGGGTCTCTCCCACCATAAATTATTTCATAGGAATAGTTCATGAAAATGGACTTCCATGATTTAACACCTACGGAAATTAAAAGCAAAATGTAGAAAAGAGCCCTTTACATATAATTCTTTCATTTTTAAAATACTCATTTTCCTTATACAAATGTAATATATGCAACTGAGGATCTAATGTAAGTGTGGTTTTATTTATATTTGGCAATAAATAGCAGTTATTACCAAAAAAATGAGCTTTATAAGAGTGAGTCACTTACCAGACACACACACACAAATTATTTATTTTCCCTCTGAACTTTAAAACCATTACCAACGGGTGATTTGCCGAAAAACTCTTTTAAAAATGTATTAACCACCAACCAATAGGGATGCCTACTGGAAAAAGATTCTATCCTATGGTTTATTCCAAATGACTGACATTACCAAGTGGCGATTTGCCAAGAAACTCTTTAAAAAGGTATTAACCACCAATAGGGATGCCTACTAGAAAAAGATTCTATCTTATGGTTTATTTCAAATGACTGATTCTCCATTCACTTCCAAGAAAAAAAAAGTGAACTGAGGAAATGATGGCTCATTATTACGAATACTCTGAAACTTATGAAAGGCTTTCAATCTACGAAAGGGCTGTGGCCCGGCAGACCGCACAGGTGCTGCTCTGAGCAGAACACATGCGTCTGCAGAGAAAGCACTGCCACCCACTGGGTAACAGGTCGGTGCGGAGGGGCCCCATGCGCCGCCGCCCGGACGCCGGCGCCGCGGAGCCCGCCGCGAGGGGGCGCCCTCCTCACACAAAGGCCCCGGGACCCTCGAGCCCGGCAGCCGGCAGAGGCGGCGTCCGCCACTCGGGAAGGGCAGCCGCTGCGCCTGGCGGTTCGCGTTTCCCCGCGGCCCCAGCGGCAGAGGCGGCGGGACTCATCTCATATGAAAGGACGGTGGAGGGAGCGGGGTCGGCGGGAGCCTGGGGCCTCAGGGCTAATTGCTGGATGGTCCACCCCAGCGGACGTCTTTCCCGGCCCCAAGCCTGGCCAGCCTCTTCCTCTGCACGGCGGCTCCTTCACAATGGGGCCATGAACAGAAGAGCGCCTCTCCTTTCCGGGCCCTTAAGTACAGCCGTCCTTCCGTCAGGAATGAAAGGACGGCTCGTCCCCAAGACTCCCTGGGTCTGGTTCAGGCTCGTCCCTCGGAAGCCGGCCCCGACCCCGCCGGACGCCTGGGCTCTGCGCCCTCAGCCCCGGTGGGGCGGACGGACGGGCCGTGTTCCCGTCAGGACAGCCGGCCCGCAAGGCTCGGCCCAGGCAGGGCCCACGGCCCAGACTCCCCACTCTGCCCCCAGCTCCCAGCCCTACCGCGACTCCGCGCTGGTCTAATCTGCACAGCGCCCCTGTGAATGGGCACCAGGGCTGTACAAACGGGCTGCTGTGCAGACGGGAGACGAAGGCGAGCCACATGACGCCTGACACAGAGGAAGCGCCGACTGAATCACGGTGATAAACGGCAGGAGAAAGCAGCACTCAGACGGGACGGGACAGACTGAACGCGCGGCGGGCCCGGGGAGCAGCGCTCAATCTGGATCTAGTGGAATGAGGAGCAGCCCACTGGAGGAGAGGAGGACGGAGCCTGGTGAAGGCCCGGGGCCGCGAGAGACACCCGCAGGGCAGGGACCGAGGCTCAGCGGGGCACTGGGCCCGGAGAAGGCGAGCTGGAGGGAAAGACAGCCCAGACATGGTCCTGAGAGATGGCTGAGAGCAGAGCTGCATCTTTTGGCTCATCGGTTCAGGAGACTGCGCAGAGCAGGCGCAACCGGGCCACCGGCCGGCTAGCAGCCGGCTAGTGAGCCGGAGCAGAGGGCAGGGCTTCAAGAACAGGGGTGGGGAAGGAGCGGAACCGTTCTGGTTCACGTGGCCTTCTGCCGGGAAGCCTCTCGGAGCCTTCTCCTAAGGGCTCTGACAGCACCACAGACATCCAGGGGCAGGGGCGTAACACTCGCTTCTCCAGGTTCACTCGGCAAATTCGTCAAGGCCTGCGGGGACCGAGGCCCTTGCTCGGCACCCGGAATACAGAGGTTAACAAGAGGGGAGAGGTCTGGGCTCTATGGCCAGTGCCGCAGGGGGATGGCTGGGATGGGATGCAGACAGCAAACAGGGAGGGGATTACCCAAATCTAGGGGCTGCAGGCCATGATGGGGAAACAGGATGGCGGGCTAAAGGGAAAGGGGTAGCAGATGGAGACGGGTGCACGGAGTGGTCAAGAACCGCCTCTCTGGGCCTTCCCCGGGGGGCCCGTGGCTGAGACTCTGCACTTAACAATGCAGGGGGCTTGGGTTCGATCCCGGTCAGAACTAGATCCCACGTGCCACAACTAAGACCCAGCACAGCCAGATACATAAACACTAAAAAAAAAAAAAAAAACCACGCTTCACTGACGAAGGGCACCTCCGAGGACCCCTCTGCAATGAGGGCCAGTAGTGAAGACTGGGGAGGAGGGGGTCGGACGCCGAGGACACCAGTGTGGCTGGAGGGGGGTGAGCAGGGAGGAGGGAAAGGGAAGCGTGGGACCTGGCAAGCACGGAGCACAGGCGGCTTTGCGCTTCCAAGGACAGAGTCGGTGCAGGCCTCGGGGAGTGTGGGAGGACTCCGGCTGACGATGGCGAGTCGGCTACAGTCAGGGAGGCCCAGAAACACTCAGAGAGCTACGGCAGTGCTCCAGGTGAGAACCGGGACAGCCGGCACCAAGTTGCCCGCTGAAGGAGTGGTCAGGATGGCCCGATTTAGATATATTTTGAAGGCACAGAGTTCGCAGGGCCTGCTGATGAACTGCACATCGGATGAAGAGAAGCATGGACTGAGGAGGTCTAGCCCTGGGGCCCGGTGACTATGCTGTGCCACCGCCTCAGGAGACAGGCCGGAGCAGAAGCCGCAGACTCGGGGCAGGAAGGCGAGAAGCGGGCTGAGTCTGGCTTTAGGCGTCTTATCGAATCGGAGAACCTGCGAGGCACCCAAGTGGAGATGCCAAGGAGGCAGTCGTGTGTGCAAGTCAAGAGCTGGCGGCAAGACAGGCTAGAAACGAAGTCAGGCGCGCTGTCGGTACAGATGCTGCTACAAAGCCTGGGTCAAGCCGAATCCCCTAGAGAGTAAGTGCAGATGATAAGAGGTCCGGGGGTGAAACCGCCAAGGTGACGGAGAAGACACAGCCTCAGAAAGAGGAAAAGCAGGAGAAGGGGGTCCTGGCAGCCAAGGAGGGGCACTGGGGTGCAGGCAGGAAGGGACAGGCAGAGGTTTGGTGCTGCCCGGCACTCAAGTGAAGAGCTCTTCAGATCCACTGGGCGAAGGTCGCCATCACCCCAACAAGCGGCATCAGTGATGTGGGGGCTTAAGGGAAACAGGGTGGGAGGAAGGAGACAGCGAGCGAGATGATGCAACTCTTTCGAAGAGAAAAGAAGATACAGCACCGTGGCTACAGGGATGTGGAAACGGAAAGTGTTAAGAGGTAAAATGTGACAGCATGTTTGCGTCCTGACAGGAATGACCCAGCAGAAAACAGTAAACCCATGGGGGCGAGGAAAAATGTAAGAAGGGGTATAAATTCTTCAAATGGCTGGAAGAGCTGCATGAGCTTTTATGACTCAAAGTGTTGATTAAAAAAAAATTTTTTTTTTCCTTTTAGCTTTCAAGAACTAGAATAATTCTGTTACTAGTTGAAAGAAATCTTAGAAGCCTATTTGTAGATACTAGAGGTTGGTCCAAAGCTAAAATGAAAAATAACTGAGAAATAAAATTTTAACATACAAAAGCAAAGAGATGATTATAAAAATGTCATTCAAGTTATTTTCTTAAAAAAATTTGCCCTTTATATATGATACCCTATAGCTCAAGATGAAAACTTCTAAGGTCATCATTTTCCAGTATCCATGGGCAAGGTATACTTACAGGCTGCACTGATTTAGTCTGTAGAATTTATGTCTCGCAACACAGAGTCTCCATACGTATTTTGCTGTTTCCATGTCTTCCTAGTAAACAAAAGACGCACAAAGTAAAGCAAAGCACATCTACAACTTGATACAGACCTTATCTGAGAACAAGACAGAAATGGGTGACATGGTATACCAAAGTCACATCTAACACACTGTGACTCTTGCATTTTCTACCACTGCACCCCTCATATGAATGTTGTAATTAGGATTCAAATTACAAAAACCAACAAAAAGCTCTCAATAGTATGATTCTTATATTATCAGTTTCCAGATGACTCAGAAATTTTTAAATTATGTCATTTACAGAAAATGTCATCTTGTATTATTACCCAAAGATGTTACTAAACAAAACATTACTATTATTGACAAATAGATACTCAAGGACATTTTTAAATGAAGTGACTCACAGACTCATGGCTTTCATCTAGACAGTAAAGGTAACTGTGAAACAGTGTTTCCACAGAGCTATTCACTTATCAGTGGGAGCCAAGATGCCAGGGTTTCCTGTCTTCCCTACTTGTGCTCAGGCGTACTTAGTCGCTTCAGTCGTGTCCAACTCTTGCGACCCCATGGACTGTAACCCACCAGGCTCCTCTGTCCATGGGATTCTCCAGGCGAGAATACTGGAGTGGGTTGCTATGCCCTCCTGCAAGGGATTGTTTCGACCCAGGAATCGAACCCCGTATCCTGCACTGCAGGCAGATTCTTTATAGCTGAGCCTATGTATGTAATTTAAAGGTCATCATAATCAGACAGTATTTATCCAAAGACTCAATTCACTCAACAGTATTTACTCAGCAACTTTGCTAAGTGCGATTATGCAAAATGTTATAAAGAATAAAATTTTATGTTTTATAAACTATGAAAAGCTATCATTTTAAAGCTACTCCCCCAAACACACACACAGAAATGTTAACTTTTAGGAAAAACAGTCCAGGCAGGTTCTTAACGTCTACTCACAGTTTGAAACTGGATGGTCTCCTCTTTATTTGCCAGCTCTAACGCAAAAAAGGACTTATTATGGGACATGTTAGCAATATCATGCCACCTGGAGAACAACAAGCAGAAAATGGCTGTAAGAGCACTCAGGTTTTAACTAAGAGACGGAAGATATGATTTTTTTCCTTCTTGAGCTTATGTATAACCTATTATTTGTTATCATTTTAGGAAGAAAACAGGGCTTTAATCGGCTGGCCTGCATTTTATAATGGAAGTGACAACAGGGAGGTACGAAAAGTAATGCCAGCATAATAACACAGAGGCAGAGTACTCAAAACTGTGAACTCGGGGACTTCCCTGGGAGTCCAGTGGTTGAGATCCCGCGCTTCCAATGCAGGAGGAGAGGCTCTGATCCCTGGTCAGGAAACTAGGATCCCACATGCCGCACGGCTGGGCCAAAATAAATACATATAAATGGGAACTCTACTCAGCCTCGTTTGCTGGACTAGTTTGATCAAACATCCCACTCTCAGCCACCAATGCTCCTTCGTTCATTCAACAAATGCCTTAGAGGGCACCCACTGTGACGATAGCAGGGACCCTGTGTTTGGTCCTGGGGTACAGAGGTGGGTGAGGGGCAGTGATGCCCTCAGCGGGGCTCTGGTGGGGGTGGGGCGGGTGTACAGAGATGGGTGAGCGGCAGTGATGCCCTCAGCGGGGCTCCGGTGGGGGTGGGGCGGGTGGCGAGCATAGGACCAAACAAGCACCCCTGCCTTCCGGTTCACAGGGCAAAATAAGACACAGAGGCAGAGCGGAGATGCTCTAAAAAGCTGGCGAAGCAGGGCAAACAGCAAGTTCAGATGCTGCGAACCCAAAGAGTGAGCTACTCTGGGGGTGTTCACCAGGATTCAGACCTCAACTCTGAACTTTCTAACTGCGTGTATTTTACCATGTTAAGGTTTTATATATTAATATTTCATGACACACTATATAATTTTTACAAAGGGAAAAACAGGTCTGGAAGAAAAAATTTTACCCCTTTATCCTTCTCCATCTTATTAAATTTATTGAAATAAATAAAATTCATTCACAATAACTTGGTACTTCATTGCTTTTGTTTTTTAGTTTTCTGGATGCACTGCGTACAGAGCATGTGGGATCTTAGTTCCCTGACCAGGGATCAAACCCAAGCCCCATGCGTTGGAAGCACAGAGTCTTGACCACTGGACCGCCAGGGAAGTCTGTAATTGCTAAACCTAAAGATTATGAGTGTCATATTAAAGAAGGCATTTTAGAATTTCCTATCCAGCGAGATAAAGGAAGCCCGTGGGGATGTCTCCCATGTTCCTGTGACCTTTTGAGCAGTGTCGGCGTCCTGCCCTTCGGTGCCAGCCAGACCCATCTCTGCCCACTGCCCTGCAACTGAGCATGCTGTGGAGACAGTGAGCAGCCTGGCGACCTGAGAGCGACTGCCCTCGGGAGCCACCGAGCCAGGGCAGGGCGGTCCAGGAGCGGGGACCTGTCCCCAGGCCGGCACACACTCCACGGTCACAATCCCCAGGGAGAATTCAGGCCTCCAGAGGCAGGAAAGCAAAGGAAGGGAAGAGACACAGAATACTGAGAAGGGAACTGCCATCACCTGAAATCCCACTGCTGCCAGCCAGCCTCGCCACTGCTATCTGTCCTCCCTGTCCTCCTGGCCGGGCTACATTCTAAGAGCTCCACAAATGAAGGGTACCACTCTTTTTATAACCAACAGAAGAAAAATCTACATTACGAAAAGTGTTTAGGCGTTGGTATTTTAGGAATTTTGGTACCAACTAGAATCAGGGAAAGCCTAGATTTCCCACGAGAAATAGCCCGGGGAAACTAGAGTGCAAATGAAAAATGCACTGCTCACTCACATTCGTGTGTGTGCATTTGTTCAGCCCCACGGGGGTGAATTTTGTTTCTTTCCCGTAAGGCTGGGGTACAGTGGGCATCAGGGACTTAATTCTGAACCTGATAAAACGTGTTTCTAAGGGCACAGTGCCCTCACCTGCCAGGAAATCATCCTAACACAGAAGCCTCAGCTACAGAGGAGAAAAGTCAGATTCTGTTTTTGAAATCGATTGGGATCTAAACCCTGAAATAAATACTCATACTTTACATAGAAAAAAAAAAAAAGAAAAATTCACACACCAAGATAAAGAATGGCCTCCATATGGTAAGAAAAGGGTCACACGTTTTTAAACATTTCATAAGCGGGCCACCATTATAAACACTGCAATTTAGTTTTGAAGTAAGTATCATAACTATTGCAGTCAGGTGCAATTTTATTCTAAGAAAGGCACATTTCCATGTCCTGGTGAGCCCTTGGGAGACACTTACTTGCGAGCAATACAATTAGCACAGACACTAAAACGCAATCACCCACAGGAGCCACAGAAGGAGCACAGAAGGAAGAGTACCTGAACACCGCAGGAGGCCGCCCACTCTTGTGCTTCACAAAGACGCCTTCGAGACATGCTCCGATGGATATGTCGCTGCCTTGGCTGTCCTAGGAGGAGAAAGCGGACAAGGAAACACTGGGGGCGGCAGAGACACGGGGGCCACCGGGTCCCCACCCACCCCTACTCGTGGGGCCCACATGGAGAAGGCTTGGGAGACCTCCACCGAGGGGGCAAGTCTGCAAGGTGTAAGTGCGTCGCCTTTTACCACACACGAAAATAGAGCTGGGCTCCTTGAGGAATTCTATTTCAAGAGTGATTCCAAGAACAGACGACAGAACAGGAACACCTGTTTCGTGAGAAAACTTTGGCCACGAGGACCTCAGCTTTCACATTTCCAAACGTCTGCACATCTCCGGCCTTCGAGCCGCGCAGCATCCCTGGCCTCCCCTGCTGACCTGCTGGAGCAGCTCGGGCGCCCTCTGGAGGCCCCGTCTTCGGGCCTCGCTTACCTTGGCAGGGTAGCTCTCCTCCCCATAGCCGTCCATTCTCTCCACCTCCTGCATGTAGAGCATCTCCGCGTCAGGAGCTGTGAGACCCCTGCAACCCGAGAGATGTCAGACTGTTCACAAACTAAAAAACTTCAGAAGAGCTTGTTTGTGAAACACTACATCTCAATCGAGCATAAAACGTTAGAAACATTTAACAGGTTTCTAAGCATCTGTGATTAGTTGTATCAGTCTATCAGTATTTACTGAAAATCAACTACATGCAAGAGCACTGTGCTGAATGCTGAGGGTTAGTTATGTGAGGTCCAACCCCTTGGCCTTTGGGCAGGCAAGGGGAAATGCAGGAAGTAAAGCAACCTCCTAAGAAACCTTCAGTGGAAGCTAGACTTCTCCCTAAACCACCGAAGTGTCAGACAGTACTAAGCACTGTGTGCTAAACGCCACACGGCGGGGCGAGTAAGGGGCAGCAGCTGGAGATCCTTTCTGGCTCTGGTGACGGCGTGACGAGGGTGGGCAGGTAGGCGGGAAGGCAGCGCGGGCAGAGAAGGAGCCCACAGCAGGGACACCTCCTCTCCAACCTCACCTGCTGCTGCTCCACACACCCACACGGTACACCCACCGCGACCACCCCGGGCTCCGTGTATCTCTGAATATACCACGCTCCCTTGTGCCTCCGAGCCTTTGCATGTGCTGATCATGCTTCCTGGTCTAACTATCACCCGCCTGCACACCTGGTCAACCCCTGACACCCATCAAGACTCAGCCTGCGCACCCTCTCGGTCACCTTCTGGGACTGCCCTGCTCTACACAGACCCACCACCTTCTGTGCGCGCCTCTCCCCCACGCTCACGATGATCACTATTAGCTGCTATTACAGGGGGCTGAACTGCCTACCCCTTAAGACTCTGGCAGGTCACGGTTCTATTTATCTTTGTGCCACAGCATTGAGCACTCTGCCTCATAACAGAAGAGCAGCACTAAATTATCTCTTAAGGAGACGCACAGATGGATGAATGAAAGTAACAAACGATAGAGCAAGGTGTACCCGAAGGATTAATTATGCTGAAAAAAAACGGGTTCATTCGGACAGCAGAAGATAAAGCTGGAATGGCAGGATTGAACCAATTTGTGAGAAGCCTTTAATCCCAGGGGTGATGAACTCAGGCTGGTGGAAAGCAAGAAGATTCATGAACACTTGAGGAGAGGAGGGGTGACAGCCGAAAGAGCTATTTTAGGAGAATTAATGTTTTGTGAGTGACTGTCTGGATTTGAGTGGGGACAGACTAAAGGCAGAAGGTAATTTTTAATAGGAAGGGGTGAACAACAGGTTATAATGAGACAGCCCTGAGTTCACACCCCACCTCTACCACATGTAACTCTGGGCAAGTTACTTATAGTCCTTGTGAACTTGATTTTCCCGTCTGTAAGGAGATAATAACATCTACCTTAAAGAGTGGTTACGAAGAATTTAATGATACACAAAGTACTTGGAACTGAGTGGTACTTGGTTTAGCATAAAACCTAGTGTTCTCAAGGACAGGAATTTCAGACAGCACATGCAGCTTCACTCTCAGAGACCAGGATCTGCCCATAAGCAGGGGTCAGAGCAACAAGCCCACTGCTCTCAGCACAGCCTGCCTAGAGGACAGGGAGATGGCTTCCAAAGGTGGGTGGCGAAGCTGGGGGTGGGGCCGACCCAAAACATCACATCTGCCACAAAGGAAAACAAATCTCTCTAATCTTGCATTAACCTACACAGAGCCGGGCCACCGCCCACACCTTCAATATGTGGGAGGAAGAACGGGCAGCCTTCAGGGACTGGCTGCTTTCAGCTTCCTCAGTTTCACCAGTGATACAACATGAATAATAGACGGGTTAATGTGGGGAAGTGCTTGGAAGAGCGCTTGGAGGCAGCTAGAGCTCTGCCCAGGTGGGCTCCTGGGAACTGGCGGCAGGCGCAGCACTAAAGGTCCGCATTTAACGCTGGCAGCGCGTGGGCCCAACTCAAACAGGCACGAGTCCCACACTGTTCCCACTTCTCAGCGTTACCTGTACTTCTGATGCAGTAAGGCCACTTTTTGGGTTGCTTCTTCCAACACTTTTTCATCTTGTAACCACTCCTGGGAAAAACACACGGCAGTTAGTATGGGAACAAATCACTCATATTTCTTAGGAGGAATCCGTGCTACTGTTATTGACTCTTGTCCCCAGCAGGCAAAACCAGGGCTCGAATCAATATCTGAGAGCTTCACTAAAGGACATAATCATGACCTTCCTGAGAATTAAGTGGCTTCTGCTCAAAAGCCAAAACACCTGCCCTGCCTTCTCAGTTCATCCCAGAGAAACTTGCTGTTGTTGTCTAGTTGCTAAGTCATGTCCGACTCTTTTCGACCCCATGGACTGTAGCCCGCCAGCCTCCGCTCTCCATGGGATTTCCCAGGCAAGAATACTAGAGTGGGTTGCCATTTCCTTCTCCAGGGGATCTTCCCAATCCAGGGATCAAACCCGTGTCTCCTGCTTGGCAGGTGGATTCTTTTCCACTGGGCCACCTGAGAAGCCCCCAGAGAGAGTTACAGATGGGTTATTTCTGGTGGTTAACATTCATCAGCCAGTTCCAAGCCCAGCACATAACACCATCTCATGCACTCCCTGGCTGGCTGGGTAGACAATCAGAACAGCACACCACTTCCTACAGTTGTTGCAACACAGTTTCCCTGTCAATTCCACCAGTATTGACTTTAAAAAGTAGAAAGCTGGGTCTTTTTGTCATCTACTCTTTAAATTGCTGATGAGAAATGATATTCACTTCAGCATAACTCTGTGAGGTTTCAAGTTTTTGGTTAAAATCAAAACCTCTGTGGTTCCTCAGAAGCTGGAAATGAGTGCCTCTCTTTAGACTCACATTCGAACACAAAATGAATTTCTCTGTCTGCAGCCCCGCGGCCAGACCCTTCTGCTTCTGTGCTTTTACAAGGACCAGAAGTCTATAACAGGGAAAGCAACAACTTAAATTGTTTATAAGGACCAGCTGATTTTTTTTTTAACTCTATCCCTACCTAGTAAGTCTAATATATGGACTTCATTTCAGGGATTATTAAGGGTCTAGAAATGCACTGTTGATAAAAATGTCCAATGTCAAAAGAATTCTTACCACAGGAAGCAAGGCGAATTTCTGAAGAAAATCCTGGGATTCATACTGATCAAAGTCACCAAAATCAGCTATATAAAATCACAAGTATTCACATGTCAATTATGTTTAATTGGAAGCAAAACATATACACAACTAAATTCAATATGAAGTATACAGATGGTATGCTTATGATTTTAGAAGTCAAATCTGCCTTATAGCTTATAAAATGTATATTTTAAAAATTCCTTTTAAAGCGTCCAGCTCTTTGCAATCCTATGGACTGTATAGCCCACCAGGCTCCTCTGTCCATGGGGATTCTCCAGGCAAGAATACTGGAGTGGGTTACCATTTCCTTCTCCAGGGGATCTTCCTAACCCAGGGATCAAACCTGGGTCTCCCACATGGCAGGCAGACTCTTTACCCAGACAGATTCACGTGTCTGGACTTGGAAAAAAATGCCTTTTAATAAAGCGAAAAAACAAAACACATTACAAATTGTATACAAATCATTTCATATTTTTGTCATTAGAAAACAAAAATCTACCCTATAATCATATATGCCTACTTCTGTACAGAAAAATGTCAAGAACAAACCAAATCATTCACAGTAGTGATTACTTCTAGGGAATGGAATTAGATCATCTGACTATGTTACAGTAAGATGTATTTGTTTAGAAATTTTTAATTGTTAAAAGAAACTGATAGTTCAGCCAAAAGCTTATGAAAAACTAACTCTTAAAGCCAAAGGTAACACTTAAGAACATTCAAAGTACTTTGAAAAGGAATATGGCTTCATGAGCACTGGGCATTTTTTTCACCTAGGAAGGATATGTATTATATCTCCATGTCTGCTAACATCTGAAGGAATAAATTTATTAATAAGGAATTTATTAATTAATTAAATTTCAATTCCTAAGATTAAATGCCAGTTATCATTTGAAATAAAGCCCCATTAGAAGTCTTTCCAAAGTATATTACACATGTAAACACATATGGATTAAACATATGACAAATGACAAACAACTGAAAAACACTTGTGAAATACAAAACTATCTAATAATAATATAATTGGCAATGTTCTATAATCTAGGACAACTATTTAAGAAACCAAACCAATGACATACGCTTGAAGTGTAAGTGAATGTAACCTTATCAACCCCACTGTTTGGCTGATCTTTCTTCTGAAAATATGAGCTAGCAGCAGATCAAGACCCTGCACAAAAGGAACACATGGCATATTAAACACTATGTGTATGTGTGTGTGTGCATCTGTGTGTATTTCCTCTCTACTGTTGGTCTGTGCCCTGCTGACGTGATAACAAGCTTAGCCTTCCAGAAGTCTCATATTTCATTCAGGTAACTCAAACCCATTTCTCCTCCACAAGGAAGCCCCTTAGATAACAGAAATAATATCCCACTAACACAGAAAACTACTCTATAGCAGTTACTTTCTATAGTCAGTTACTTTAAGAATCCCTTGTTGTTTTTGTTTAACATGCATTTTAATCTGATTGATCTATTACATTATCAATTGCCATTCTTTACCTTGAACAGCTAAGCCTGCAAGCTGAATCGCTTGTTCTAATGTACAAGGAATGTTTCCTTCCAAGATATCTTTCTTCAGCTGCAGATAATACTGATACCTATTTTAAAAAATAAAAATTTAAAAAAGGTCAGTTTTTAAAAGTCAATGTCAGTATTACCTCCAATCGGACACAATGCATTTTATCATAATTTGGTAGAGAAGCATCAACTAGCCAAAATTAAGCTCAGATGATTTTGAAGAATGACAGGAACATTCCTTGATCATAACTATACTGACAAATACACAGACAGACACAACAATTGAGTCACTTATTCTTAACTGTAGTTATTTGAAAGCTACAAACTATAGCCACCTAGGAGACAGCTGGTCACCTATCTTATACCCTGTAAAACAGTCTCTAAGTTTTGTTGTTTTAGTTGGAGAAACAGAGAATCAGTGGCCAATCTATACTTTAAAAACTCTTTGGAGGAACCTGGTGATGTTAAGACTTTCCTAGCCCTGGACAGTAAAGTCAGAAGAAAAATGGTTCCTGACATTTCAGACCAGGTGCATAATAAAATATTCTTTATTGAAATACCAAAAAGGATAGTTGCTAAAATACTTTATAACAGTCTTTTAATGTGGGCTTACTTCTGTTTCTGTTTTCAGTATATACAGTGTTAGTTACCAGCACAACCTTTAGTCAGGCAAGCTTCGGTTAAATTTCAGATCTCCAATTTAGCATTTTGCAGGAACTTGGGCAAGTCATAATCTGTGGGTTTAAATTAACGCCAGTGAAAGGTGGGGTACTATCACCCCTTCACAGGGCTGAACACACCAAGGAATATATGTAAAGCTGTTCCATAAAACTACAGCATAGCTGGTACCTAATAAACAGCTGCTCTCATGACTAGCAGCAGCCAGGCGGCAGTATTTCACCTGGCTGACTTCTCCATTTGGTAAAGCTCTACAGTGAAGACTTGTTCTGCCTCCCTTTTATTTATTCACTAAGGTAGTTATTAGGGCCTTCTATGCATCAAGCACTGTTTTAGATGCTCTGGAGACAGTGCTGAATGAAGATCCACCAACTCTCTGCCAATACGGTCTACGGGACTATCTTGAATCCAGAATCTCTTCCAGGTTTGATGTCTGTGAAGCTCGACCCAGTTACAGTTCACAATGGCATTTCCTGGAGAGCCCACCCTTTACCATTTCATATGAGTCCTTACATCATCCTATTTCATTTACCTTTGATATTTCCATGCTTCATTACCAAAAATCTTGAGCGAAACACTATCCATTTGAATAAGAATTGAGATCCAACTTAAACCCCTCCACCTGCTAGAAGCAGAACCCATACATTTCCCTCAATCAGCAGACAATGCTGGCAGCACTGGGTCTTGTCAAAGAGGAAAGCTTGCAACTTTCCCCCAGGAAGCTCCTTTCAAGCATCTAAAGTAGGCTATATCAAACATGCTGTCCACATATTTCACTCTAAATGTTCTCAGTCTTTTTCTTCATCAAATCACTGGAAAGCAGGTGCACATTCTAGACTGATGCCTAGATTATGGCATATACTTTCCTAACTGGTCTCCTGCCTGCAGTCTTGTAACCTCTAATCTACCTTTCATGATGGATGATCTTTGTAGAATACACATTTCATCATTCCCTTCCACTAAAACTCAAAAATGCCTTTCCCTATTGGTCTATGACTTAATGACTTCGGCATTTCTTTTTCAAAGCCTCTGTTCTCCTCTCGAGGTAATAACTGAAATTCCCTGAAAAAAAAATCAGTTGCTTTTATTAGCCCCTTACTTTGCACAAGCTACTCCCTCTAACTAGAAAATTCCTTGTAAAGTCAAGTGAAAGCTCATAGTCTGTACCTTCCCTATTCATACTCCCTGCAACCCACTCCTAGGAATCCAGTGCTATAATTCAGTTCAGTTCAGTTCAGTCACTCAGTCACTTCCAACTCTTTGCGACCCCATGGACTGCAGCACGCCAGGCCTCCCTGTCCATCTCCAGTTGAGTCAGTGATGCCAACCAACCATCTCATCTTCTGTCGTTCCCTTCTCCTGCCTTCAATCTTTCCCAGCTTCAGGGTCTTTTCTAATGAGTAAGTTCTGCACATCAGGTGGCCAAAATATTGGAGTTTCAGCTTCAGCATCAGTCCTTCTGATGAATATTCAGGAATGATTTCCTTTAGGATTGACTGGTTGGATCGCCTTGCAGTCTAAGGGACTCTCAAGAGTCTTCTCCAACACCACAGTTCAGAAGCATCAATTCTTCAGTGCTCAGCTTTCTTTATACTCCAACTCTCACATCCATACATGACTACTGGAAAAACCAAAGTTTTGACTAGATGGACCTTTGTTGGCAGAGTAATGTCTCTGCTTTTTAATATACTGTCTATGTTGGTCATAATTTTTCTTTCAAGGAGCAAGCATCTTTTAATTTCATGGCTGCAGTCACCATCTGCAGTGATTTTGGAGCCCCCCCCAAATAAAGTCTTTCACTGTTTCCATTGTTTCCCCATCTATTTGCCATGAAGTGATGGGACCACATGCCATGATCTTAGTTTTTTGATTGTTGAGTTTGGAGCCAGCTTTTTCACTCTCCTCTTTCACTTTCATCAAGAGGCATTTTAGTTCCTCTTCACTCTCTGCCCTAAGGGTGGTGTCATCTGCATATCTGAGGTTATTGATATTTCTCCAGCAACCTTGATTTCAGCCTGTGCTTCATCCAGTCTGGCATTTCACACGATGTACTCTGCATATAAGTTAAATAAGCAGGGTGACAATATACAGCCTTGACGTGCTCCTTTCCCAATTTGGAACCTGTCCGTTGTTCCATGTCTGGTTCTAACTGCTGCTTCCTGACCTGCATACAGATTTCTCAGGAGGCAGGTCAGGTGGTCTGGTATTCCCATCTCTTTAAGAATTTCCCCCAGTTTGTTGTGATCCACACAAAGGCTTTGGCATAGTCAATGAGCAGAAGTAGATGTTTTTCTGGAATTCTCTTGCTTTTTCTATGATCCAACAGATGTTGGCAATTTGATCTCTGGTTCCTCTGAGATCTAAATTCAGCTTGAACATCTGGAAGTTCTCAGTTCACATACTGTCAAAGCCTCGCGTGGAGAATTTTGAGCATTACTTTCTTAGCATGTGAGATGAGTGCAATTGTGTGAGTTTGAACATTCTTTGCATTGCCTTTCTTTGGGACTGGAATGAAAACTGATCTTTTCCAGTCCTGTGGCCACTGCTGACTTATCCAAATTTGCTGGCATATTGAGTGCAGCACTTTCACAGCATCATCTTTAGGATTTGAAATAGCTCAACTGGAATTCCACCACCTCCACTAGCTTTGCTCATAGTGATGCTTCCTAAGGCCGACTTGACTTGGCATTCCACTTGACTTTGCCTTTCCCTCCTCCAGCAGATCTTCCAACCCAGGGATAGAACCCAGGTCTCCCACATTGCAGTTGGATTCTTTACCAGCTGAGCCACAAGGGAAGACCGTGCTATAATTAAAGCATGTATTATCATAATATACTGTAGTTGTTCATGTACACGAACTGTCAGTTCCACCGGATTGTGACAACTGCTCCAGAGTAACAGTAAAGTGTATCTACTTGTATATTCATCTTCCACAGTAAGCAACATAATTCTTACATACCATAGTATATCTTCAATAAATGAGTCAAATGAGTCAAAGTGGTCAGTTACTGTTTTCTCCTCCTGGCTTCTACTCTCTTCAGTTTTTATAGCTCAGATATGCTCTGTAGTCAGTTCATGCTAATCCCTACAACCTGATTCTAGCTTCTTTGGTTATCGTCTTCCCATAATTAACTGCAAACTCAGTACTTAAAAAGAAGATTCCACAAACATAGGGCAGTATCAGGTTGTTACTACCTGTAAACCATTGTGTTAGAAATGATTTGAAGGCAAAGTTAAAGAAAACATAGGTTTAAAATCTAAGAAAAAGATCTGTACACAAATAACTGTAGTGAGAGGCTGTGACAACTTGCCATCTTAACATAAGTATAAGCAAATTCTAGAATAGTCTGGAGAAGGAAAACTTTGGAACTAAAATCAGGACAGGATTCTGGTCACATATATCTGAAAGAAAGGTCTAGGACACAAAGGTGAAAACGAACGCAGCATGCTCAGGGCACTGGAAGTAATCCAGCTTGGCTCGAAAACAAGGTTAAACAGGGTTAAAAAGTGCTGGATTTTGGAGAATGTGAAAGGCAGGCTCAAGAATCCAAATTTCAGATAAACAAGATCCTATTGTTCAGCGCAGAAAACTATATGTAGTATCCCGTGAAAAACCACAATGGAAAATAATATTCTAAAAGGAACGTGGGTGTGTGTATATATATGTATAATGATCACTAAGCTGTATAGTAGGAATTAACACACCACTGTAAATCAACTATGTAAAGTGTTAGTCACTCAGTCCTGTCTGACTCTGTGACCCCATAGACTATGGCCAGCCAGGCTCCTCTGTCCATGGGATTCTCCAGGCAAGAGTACTGGAGTGGGCTGCCATTTCCTTCTCCAGGGGAGCTTCCCGACCCAGGGATGGAACCTGGGTCTCCCACATTGTAGGCAGATTCTTTACCATCTGAACCATCAACTATACTTCAATTGTAAAAAAAACAAAAACAAAAAAGAATGCAAATTTGATTTGTTTCTTTGTTTTGTTATCTTCAAGAAAAAAAAAATTAGTTCCTCTATCCCACCCCTTAATACATTCTATGCTTTCTGCCTTTGTTCCTTTTAAGTGCATTTATTGGCCAATATTTTCTGATCTCAAACCCTTCCCCCACTTCTTTCTCCTTTCACACCTATGCAGAGAACATGGCTACTGGGGTCAGAACTTCTACACATTTTCTTGAGGAGTAAACACAGAATTTGTGGCTATTTTTGAAAAATCTCCTCTCTCATCTCATTGTTACTAAGGTCAGAAACAAATCAGTAAAAACATTAAGGGTGACATCACTTCAAGAGGAGTTCACAGCCAGGGTAGAAACGTCATTTTTCCTTTTAATCGTTCTTTCGTGCCGGGTGAACCCGTAACTCGAGCAACATGCCGTAAAGCACTCTGACACACCACACGCCAGAACCTCCAGGCAATGCTGTGGCTAAAAATGCATGGTGAGAGGGCAAAGGTTAGTTTTAGCTCCGGACTCCAACCTTAGTTTCACCTTTCTAATCTCACTGGATTTCCTGAAAGCAAACAGCACCATGTTTCTCACCTGGTGATCTCCTGCTGCAGCTGTGAAACCGAAGGCACGTAAAACACCACTCCAAAATAGACAGTCGGCTCCAATGCGTACTTATCCAGCTGCTTCTTCAGAGGCTTTTCCAAATCCACCCACCGGCGCTGATTTTGCTTGTTGTAATACCAGAGGCTGAAGTAAGTGATCTGGAAAGAGGGAGAATCACTGAAGGAGGCAGAAACATACCAAAGAATTTACCTGCTCTAATCCAGGACCTTTTCATACTGTTCATGGGGGGTGGGGGAGTGGGCAGAGGATGCGCTGGTTAGATGGCATCACCGACTCAATGGACATGAATTTGAGCCAACTCCGGGAGACAGTGGAGGACAGAGGAGCCTGGCGTGCTGCAGGGCCATGGGGTCACAAAGAGCTGGACACAACCTAACGACTGAACAACAACATGTCCATGACCTGGGACCAGAAGACCAGAGTTTCCCATCGCCTCTCTTCTCAGAAAGGGACCACGGCAAAACCTAAAGCGGATAAAAAACGAGGCAAGCTCTATCTCTGTATAGATACTCATTCAGGAAACGGAGGCGTGGGCCTCCTTGGTGGTCCGGTGGTTAGGAGACTGTGCCTCCCTGCAGTGGGCATGGGTTCAATCCCTGGGTGAGGAAGTAAGATCCCACATGCCACACAGCTGGGAAAAAAAAATAGAGGCAGAAGTCAGTTACACTTGCACACTCTCTCTTGAGCCCTGCACAGAAAATGTCCAGAGATCAGAGTTCAGCAGACACTACACAATTTTACGTGAGTTCAACAACAAAAAAATGCTGAAAAAATGTTTAGTTTTTAGTGAGTTCCCTGGTCGTCTAGTGGTTATGATTCAGTGCTTTCACTGTTGTGGCCTGGGTTCAACGTCTGGTCAGGGAACTGAGATCTTGCATTGTATGGTCAAGAAGGAAAAAAAAAAGTTTAGCTTTTAAATATCAAATATTAAATTTATCATAATTAATATTTTATAATAAGCATAACTGGGGTTCTTCCTAAATTCTGACCAGATAGTATTAATCCAACTGTCACTATATTTAAGTTTGGCATCTATAAATTATTTCATGTAAATACTGTAAACTCTAGTGGTAAAGATGCAATTGCAATAGCCAAAGCAATCTTGAGAAAGAAAAATGGAGCTGGAGGAATCAGACTCCCTGACTGCACGCTATACTACAAAGGCTACACTCATCAAAACAGCTTGGTATGGCACAAAAGCAGAAATACACCTCAGTGGGCAGCACCGAAAGCCCAGAGATAAACCCATACACGTAGGGTCAACCAGCCTGTGACTTAGAGGGCAGAGCACACAGCGGAGGAAAGACAGTCTCTCCAGTAAGTGACGCTGGAGACGCTGAGCAGTCACATGTAAAAGAAAGAAATTTAAACACTCTCTCATACCATACATAAAAATAAACTCAAAATGGATTGGACACCTAAATCTGAGGCTGGACACTATAACTCTTAGCTGAAAACACACTCTCTGACATAAATAGCAACATCTTTTTTGATCCGCCTCCCAACAAAAATAAAAACAAAAATAAATGGTACCTACTGAAATGTAATAGCTTTTGCACAACAAAAGAAACCATAAGCAAAAAGAAAAGACAACCCACAGGATGGGAGAGAATATCTGGAACTACCATGTGACCCAGCAGGCCCATCCCTGGGCATACATCCAGAGAAAACCAAAATCCAAAATGACACACGACCCCAAGTTCACTGCAGCACTATTCACAACAGACAGGACATGGAAGAAACCTAAATGTCCACTGACAGGGAAGCAGACAAGAAGACGCGGTACATTCACACCACAGAACAGTACACAGCCATAAAAAAGAAGTGACGCCACTGGTAGCAACACCAATGGACCTAGAAATCGCCATACTGAGGAACTATATCAGAGAAAGACCAGCTATCATATGATGCTGCTAATACACGGAATCTAAACAAAATCAAAAAACAGTAAAATGAACTTATTTACAAAACAGAAACAGAGTCACAGGTGTAGAAAAACTTACAGTTAACGGGGGGGAAGGGGGAAGGGATAAATTCAGAGATTGGGATTGATATATACATAACTATATCTATTTTATATGTATATAAAATAGATAATAAGGACATACTACTTAATATTCTCATGACCTATATGTGAAAAGAATCTATAAAAGACTGGATATATGTATAACTGATCCACTTTGCTATACACTTGAAACTAACACAACATTGTAAATCAACTGTATGTCAATAAAAATTATTTTTAAAAAATGCAACTGCAACTTTCCTTTGCCCCTCAAACTTCATTAATTACAAGTTTATAAAGTAACTGTAGTGCTACAGAGATACACACACACACACCCAAAAAGAAGCTATAGCTAAGGCAGTGAAATTACTTAAGTGTCCTACTCAGAGGCTGACCAGCATTTAAATCTCAGTTGCCATGCAACAAACTGTTTAAGTAAATCAATCCTAGCCCTGGACTGGTCAGCCTGACAAGGTGCTAATGCACGTAAGGACTGAAATGACAGCCTCCGGCCACTGCTAATATTTACCTCAAAAATCAATTTACAGATCAAGGCAACTGGAAAAATCACTGCTTGGTTCTAGACTCTAGAGTAACACTGTCAAAAACTTCCTCTGATGGCTGAGCTGCAGGCATCTGCATTCTCTAGGGATGTGAAATGTGGCTAGGGCAGCTGCGGAACCTAACTTCCAATGTCACTTAATTCTAATGGACTGAAATAGCTGCAAACATCTAGTGGTCACTGCATTGATTCATACAGCTTTGGAGCAACAATAATACAGTCAATAATAACACACAGGCTATTTCTGTAACCATAAGCCTCAAAAAAGGAGTTCTCAATTTACAGAGGGGAAAAAAAAAACCAACATTAAAACATGTCCTCAATGCTAGTCAATTTACCTTACAACTTTTTTTTTTAATAACAAAGGAAGACCCATACCTTTCAAAAGTCTATTAGGGGCTTCTCTGGTGGCTCAGCGGTAGAGAATCTGCCTGCCAACACGGGAGACATGGGTTCGATCCCTGGCCCGGGAAGATCCCACATGCCGCGGAAGCACTAGGCCCGAGCGCCACCACCGCTGAGCCTGTGCCCCAGAGCCTGGGGACCGCACCTCGTGAGCCCAGGTGCTACAGCTCCTGCAGTGGGCACACCTAGAGCCGTCTCCCCAACAAGAGAGGCCCGCAGGCCGCAACCAGGGGGCAGTCCCCCCACGCCGCTCACTGCAAGTCCAGGAAAGCCCACACAGCAGTGAAGACCCAGCACAGCCAGAACGAAACAAACAAGTGTTTAAAAGATGAGTCTACTAATCATAGAAACTCATATCAAGAGTCAAAAATGTATGTATCCGTTTTCCCTTTATATCCAAACAGCTAGAGCAGTGCAGGAATTCAGTAAACCTTGAATAAAAGAACGAGTATTCTCCTGCTTCTCAGCTGTCACCCCAGTTATCACACATGAATGGAATATTCTGAACATTTACTACGTTGAACCAAATTCTGTTCTAAGAACTAGAGCAATGTTATAGATTAAATCCCCACTATTACCTTATCAAACAGATGTGTGTGGTGTGTGTTAAACTCCGGAACCAGTGCTTCTCCAGATGCTGCTGCCGACCACCTCTGCTGGAGCTACCTGGAGCGCAATGAGGCCAGCAGAGAGGGACCCCCGAGTGACGCTGCTGCCCAGGAAGTCTCAAGTCACCGCACCACGGCGCGTCGCCCCCACCCACCCCGCCCCTTCAACGCCATGGAGGAGACGGTCACACGAACGACCTACCCTTGAGAAGCTGCGTGGAAGTCAAACTGGTGAAAATCCAAACACACTATTATAGCAGAAAGTTGAGTCCTGCTGCTGCTAATTATTTTCTGAAGTTGTGATTATACTTATAAAATAAAATATGTTATCTGCAGGAAAAGATATCACATTTTTGGAAAACAGGTACTATTCCTATTCCTTCTTTCATCTGAACTGCAACTTACAGAAAAGAAAAGTCTACTAATAGAAGGAAGCTGCTTTAATTTCAAAGTCCTTTAATTTCTAATCTTGCTTGCTGTGAAGTGGAAAAGTCTAATTAGTCCAATTCAGTTTTATCAACTGTATTAAGGCAATAATACCTCCCTTATAACTCCACCATGAGATCTAAATGCAAAAGATATATGACTGCATTTTGCCACTAGAAAAAGATTATGTTTTAAAAAGATTAGTTTCACCCACTCTGCTAAATATTAACAAAATCAACTGAAGATCTTGCCAAAAAAAAAATAGGAAACCTTTTCTAACTACATTTATTTGGTAATTACAACACAGTACACTTCTGATCATTCTATGTACGCTTTGAGTTCTATTTGAGATTTGGACTGCATGTTCCATGTTTGGTCTACAACACATACCATTGCTATTCACTTAGTTCTACAAATATTTATTTTTTGCCATAAAAGCAGAAGCCTGAGCATTCTTTAGGATCTAAAACTATTCTTGTCATAAAAATTAAAACATCTTTAAAATACTCTGTAAACATTACTTTTCCCTTTAAATCTAGTCAGACTTGAATCCTCGGAACACAAAAATTTACACAGAATTACAAAACTGTAGGTTTATTATAAAACTTATGAACAGATATATTAAAATATATGAATAATCTGTTAGCATTCTTAAAAAGCACATTGTAGAATAAACTCTTAATAATATGTGCGAAGCTTATTTACTTTAGAAATGCATTTATTACTTATGTCACATATGGATAGAAAATCAAAAAGAAATATACTTGTGAAATTACATCATAATTAGCTTTTTTACAAATTATATACCTTATAAAGAAGTAGTAAGAACCTTGTGCAAACAGCTGGATATAGATTTATTAAATTATTTGTTGATTAGGTATTTTAGACACAGGAGAGTCTAAGTCATTTGACCATTAACTCCTTTTATATTGTAGTAAAGTATTTGCCTTGGTACTTATCCCTGTTTTCAAGTGCTATCTTAAGTAGTAGTTAAGGCTAGCCAAAATAAAGTTTGTATCAAGTAAAATATTTCCAAGGAGGTATTTTATTTCTAAAGTTGCTGCTAGAAATGTTTATATACACACGGGTAACTAAAACTCCGTAACATTACAATCCTTGTATTCAATGCTT